TTCACTGACCGTTTACTTTTTTTTCGGTATAATTTTTTTCCCCGAAAAACAGAAAAGGTTCAACATATTGATATTTACCAAAAAAAAGAAAAAGATTTGATGATGATTCTGGCCTTTTCGTTTTCGTTTCTCTTGTTCATCATTATGACGATACACAAAGTCATTACACACAGTTTCTCTTTGATGTCAAAAAATACGATTACTATTTTCAACAGAAAAAAAATTCAATAACCAAACATAGTTCTGCAGAAAATAGCACTTTTCAATTTTTCTTTCTTTTTTCGATATTAAAAAATCCTTTGTTTTAAGTTCAATTTCTTTTTTCCGTAAAAGATTTCTCGGTAAAGAATTTAATTTTTTATTTCATTTCGCAATCAAAATGAACTCAAAAATTGATGAATTTGAACGAAAACAAAATGAAATCAAATATCAAATTCCTATTGGATGATTTGTTCCAATTGAACATTTGACCTCTTCCAAATGAATTAGTCTTTTTTGTAATAATGGAAAAAAATTATTACTCGGTAAAATGGCTAATTGAATCTTAATGTTTTTTATCCTCTGGATTTTCAGGCTAACTTAAAAAAAACTATCCGTGTGTGTAATATGATGGTTATAATAACCAAAACAATCATGATGAAATAAGAGATTTAATCTCTCTCTTGCATTCTCATTTCTCTGTATTTCTTTTGGGTTCAAGCAAGTAAAAAAGCATTAAATTTTCAATTTACAAGATAAACATCCAAACAAATTTATTTTTCACACTAAATTTACAAAAAGAAAAGATATTCATATAGTGTAGTTGTTTAAAGTGGCTATAATTGACTCTTGTTTTGTAAATTATTCATTACTACCCTACTATTCTTTTTACACCTTTCTATATACAAAAACAAATTGCCAGGTAATCAATGTTGCTGTTGTTGTTTACAGAAAAAACAAATTGTCAAAGATCAATTGTCAAAGATTATTATTGTCAATAGGAATGATTGGTACCAAAACAAGGTGCCAAAATACTTGTCAACATAATGGCCATTGTGTGTGTGTGTATGTGGACATCGAAAACAAAACCCAAAAAATGATTTAAGACGAAAAACGACAATTGTGAATTTGAATTTGTTTTTTTTTTGAAATAAAAACAAACAAACAATCAATGTTTTCCTTTCAATTGAAAAAAAACATTGATTTTTATGTTCGATCATTTGATATCAGGAAAAATATTTTTGTCTACATTCTCGATCTCTGTTTATTGATTGTGTAATTTGAAACTTTTGTTAAATTCAAAGATTGTGTCGCCATTGTTGTTGTTGTTGTTGTTATTACAATACGAACCTAAACCAAATGAATTACATGGTTTCATGACCTTTATGAATGTTTATAAAGTGAGGTTAAGGGTCATTGGATCAAATATGTCTCGTCTGATTGTCGTCGTCGTCGTAGTCGTCATCATGATCGACGACAACATTGACATCATCAACTATATGGGTGTTTTGATAATGGTGACATTTTAAATATTATAGCCAGCCAATTATCTTTATCCAAATTTAACTTCATTTGTCAAAATATTTTCAGGTTTTTTTATCAAATCAAATCAAATCAAATCAATGATTTTTGATTTGAATTCAAATTCAAATTCATTCATTCTGAATCTTATAGGTTTTGATGATATTTTGTTTTGTTCAAAAATTCATTTTTTTTAAATCGATCAAGATTGTGATTGATTTCAATCACAATGGTATGGCTCTATTGTATTCCGAAAACATCCACATTTCACACATAGAGAGAAACACATCCTCATTGATAAGTTTAAAAACAGCGAATAACAATAAAATTGAAAAAAAACATTTAGTTTGTAAAATTGAATCGTTTTACCACCGACTGTGTACAATAATAATGTTTTATTTTTCAATTCATTTTTTTTGTTTTGTCAAATTAGAATTTGGTGTTTGTTTTTTGAAACCAAAAAAGAAAAAAAGAAGATAAAAGGTTCACACTTACCTCACACTAAATTGCTATTGATTGATTCATTGTCAATTAGAACAATGAATTTCTGAATGTTTTCCCGTTTTTGGATGATGATGATAATGGTGATTTGGCCTATATATAATCATGATTATAATGACATCATCATCATCATTATCATCATTAAATATTACAGTAATAAGTAGATTGACAACGATAATAACTGGGAAAAAAATAGAAGGATGACAAAAAATGCTAGCCGGTCGTTAGAATGGATGTTTTTTCGACATGGATGTACTGGAAAAAAATATCGTTATAATTAACGATTCTCCAATGAATTCTTTCAAAAATGTTTCATGAGAATAAATAATTGGTCCAATTTATATTTATATTCCAAGGACAACAAATGATGATGATGATGATGATAATGATGACTTATTTTCATGACGAATTTATCGTTGAATGTTGAATGACATTTGCAAATTGTTTTCAAAAAGAGAGAAATTTTCCAGGAAAATCTTTTTTGCTAAATAATTGATTTTCATTTCCCTTCAATTTTGTCTTCGATTGTTATTGTTATTGTTTATTTGTTTTTGTTTTTTGTTTAAATTTCAAAATCAAATCTGTTTAATCAGTATTTTTTGGGAATTTCTTTCGATAATTAATTTTGAAAGAAAAAAAGTGTTATGATAATGTTTCTTTTCTACTTTGCATGGATTATTCATAGCCTGGAAACAAGTTGAAAAAAATATTCTTCCATTTCAAATTGATTATTTTAAACAAATTTCAAAAACATTATGATTGATGTATTGTCAATTATCATCATCATTGATTTATTATTATCATTATTCAGATATAAATACCAAAAGAAAAACAAACGGATAATTCAGATATCAGATAACCTCAGGGTTATTTTTTTCATTGGTTGCAATTCCATTCATTATGGTTGATGGTAGAAAATGGATCAACTTTTTTTTTAAAAAAATTCAACAAAACATCTGGATGTGGTTGAACAAACCGAAACAGACAACAAATAAAAGAAAAACCTCTATAGACCCTATGGGGATTTTTGGTAGAAGTGAAAGTGAAGAAATGTTCCAGAAACAAGCACAAATAATTTATTGATTTAAAATCAATAAACAAACCGTCGTTGATTATCAAACATTCCATATGTGTAGGAGATTTTTACATTTTTAAATTATTGATTCATTTGATATCAAATAAAAAAATTGAATTTTTTTATCATTAACCAAACAAAGAAAAAAAATGATTTTTGTTTTAATCAGAAATTCTCTGTGTGTGTGATTTTCTGTAAATATTTGATTCAAACAAAAATCTAAAATTTAAAATTTAAATTTTTATTTGAATATTGACTTTGGATTGTTTTCAGTTAATGAAGTGATCCATACTTGAGGCATATTTTCATTTGATAGTTTTTTTTTTTTTTTTTTTTTTGGTCTCTCGTTTGACGACAGACAATGAATTCAAATTTCAAATCAATCATAATTAAATCAAACTAATGGTAATGATTAATTGATTGATTGATTGATGAATTGTTTTGCATGAATATTTTTTTCTGTCCTGATGATGAAAGATATTCTCATTTTTTATTTATTTCTAGTTATTTGGTAATTTGATATGGTAGTGATAAAAAAAATAGTGCAAAATTTGAAATTCAATAATGTAATCATCATCATCATTCATCATTCATCATTTAGATCGGTAATTATGTTATCAGCACAATATTTATGGAAAAACGCATTTCAGTTATCGAACTAAATATAAACTAAACTAAATCAAATGGGTCTATATGGGTGTTGACCATGGTTTTTTTCCCATTTGAACCTAGGACCCTAGAAATGACCTTTTTTCAAAAGGTACGACCCAAAAATAGGCGTAACTTATGGCAATGTTTTTGCAATTTATGTTTTTCCATCGGTAAAAAAGTCTATAATTGATAAACTTTTCAGCAAGCTAGGTCTTTTTTATATTAAAGGTAAAATATTGTCATATATAAAATCTGGTGGCTAAACTAGAGATTTCAAATTGTTTGTTTGTTTGTTTGAAACTCTTGTTTGGAAAAACCGATTTGAATTTTAAAATTCAATTTTAAATCAATAATCAATCAAATAACGATGACATCAAGATCTTTTTTTATGGATTCATTATTGAATCATCATTCTGCATCACATTATACAGCCAATTTCAATGATCAATATGATTTAAATCACATTGATGATAATCCAATGTTTAATAATCATTCGAAATTATTGAAAATTCGAACCACATCAGCCGCAGATAATTCATTACCAACAATGGAAAAAGTGCAATCTAAGCCGCATCAAACGTTACCGTTATCAACATCAATTGTATCAGCATCATCGATGATACCAACAACAACAACGGAAACGACATTTAAATCATTGATGAATGATTATCAAAAATTCTATTCACATTATATGTTGGGACCAGCATTTTTTCTTCAAAATCTAATACCACCGACGCCACCACCATCATCAATAGTAGATCAATTACCATCAAGACAATTATCACCAAACAAATCACAAGANATTGATGATAATGATAATAATCCAATGTTCAATAATCATTCGAAATTATTGAAAATCCGAACCACATCAGCAGCAGATAATTCATTACCAACAATGGAAAAAGTGCAATCCAAGCCGCATCAACCGTTACCGTTATCAACATCAATTGTATCAGCATCATCGATGATACCAACAACAACAACGGAAACGACATTTAAATCATTGATGAATGATTATCAAAAATTCTATTCACATTATATGTTGGGACCAGCATTTTTTCTTCAAAATCTAATACCACCACCATCATCATCGATAGTAGATCAATTACCATCAAGACAATTATCACCAAACAAATCACAAGAAGAATTATTGATTAAATTAAATACAAATAATCAATTTCAGCAACAACAACAACTTTTAAAGCCATTAACTAATGATAATGATGATCAAGATGAGAAAAAACTTGAAAAAAATGAACGAAAACATTCCAAAATGGATAAAGTAAAGAAAATTAAATGTTCAACGTCAAACGTTAAATCATTCATTTCAAAAAAGAATGAAATATCATCAAAGAAAGAATCGTTATCATCAAAATCCCCCAGTTCATCATCAACGCTGGCTACAACAACAACAACAACAACAGCGACAGCGTCATCAAGTTCATCAAGCCGTTTACGTACTGCATTTACATCAACACAGATAATACATTTGGAACATGAATTTGCCAAAAGTATGTATCTATCCCGTTTAAGACGTATCGAAATTGCACATTATTTAAGCCTTACAGAAAAACAGGTAAAAATTTGGTTTCAAAATCGTCGTGTAAAACATAAAAAAGAACAACATCCAAATTATCATCATTTATCACCAATATCAACAACAACAACAACAACGGTAAACAACAACAATAATCATCATCATGGTCATCGAAAAAGTCCAAGTCCAACATTATCCATAACAACAACAACAAATCGTCAATGTAAATGTGAATGTGAACATCATCAATGTTCACAACAACGATCACCAACATCGACATCATCGATCAATGTGAATAATTTGGAAACGATCAATGATGATGATGATGATGTGGATGGTGATTATAACCAAATGGATGATGATTATGATGATGATGAATAATTGAATTCCATTCTTCCATTATTATTATGGAAAAACGATGAAATGAAAAAATGGTCAATGAAAGCCGGTTATGATTTATTATTATGGGAATACCATTTTCATTATTATTATTTGTAAACGTAAAAACAAACAAATAAACAAACAAATATGTGTCATAATAAAATCACAATAAACATTTTGGCCATATGTTTTTGTGTGTGTGCCGGTTTTTCTTTCGGGAAACAACAATTTCTTTTTCATGAATGTAAAAATGACCGATGGCCGTTTTTTTCTTTTGTTGGTTCCTCGATTATAATTACAAATTACAATGATTATTATTTATAATGAGAATAATAAATCTTTTTCTTTTCTTTTTTTTACATATTGTTTTGAAATAAAATTAAAGTTTTTTTTTATTACTTGATTTACATTAATAAAGTTTTTTGAATATTTAATGGAAAAGGCATATACAGAAAAAAGAAAGGATTGTGGTCTGTGAATTTTTTGTGATTCATATTTTTTTGGAACCTTTTTGTTCCAGGTTCCAATTTGAAACATTAGAATCATTTGTTGTTGTTTTTTCTTTTATCAGTTCTTTTTGTTTTCACATACACAAATCAATCAATCGGTAATTTGTGTGTGTTTTTTGTTCACTCTTTCACACACACACACAAGAACAACGTCTGTTTGTTTGTATTTAGCAAATCAATCAATCAATCAATCAATAATAAAATGATAATGAAAATTTCATATTGTAAATTTTCAAACAACAACAACAGGAAAATGAAAAGAAATCAAATCAGCTAATCAATCAATGACACAGTAGCAATTCTATCCATTTTTTTTGTTTGAAACGAATTGGTGTTGAATGTTTATCAAATATAGAGTGTTGTTCCAAAAAAAAAACTTTCACTCGCGTGCTGACAGATGACACAAAGTGAAAAAAAACTTTGAATCCAGTTTTGGGTAAACAAAGGATTCACAGAAAAATTTACATATTTATGTATTTTATTCACACACACAAACTCACAAACATAAACACTACGAAAACATTTGGTTCAAATTTCAAAAATGATGGTTGGGTGTTTTTTCTTCTGTTTGGTGAAATGATGTTTTCCCCCATCCAACCATCATTATTATTTCCTCTTGATAATAAATAAATCAAAATTGTTGTTTAATGTTTTTCGATTTGTGTTTAGGTTTTCAATTTTTTTGGAAAATTTAACAGTATTTCGGTAGTTGCAAAGAAAAGTGTCAAATTCGTTTGGTCTGTAATTTGAAATTAACATTTTTCTGTTGTTTGTTGCCAAATCTTCAATCCGTTTAACGCTTCAAATTTCCCGAGAATTTTTTTCTTTTTTGGACAATCATTCCAAATACAGCTCAAATTAAATTCAATTACAAAACAATGAAATTTTGATTTTTTTTTTGTTTTGTTTTGCAGGAAATTATCATTTTTTTTCTGGTTCATTTCCTCTTGATGGTTGTTGTTGTGTGAACGGTAAAAAATTCATATTTTTTTGCAAAATGAAAGTTTCAAATTTCCACAATAATTTTCGCTTCAATTCAAACCAAACCAAAAAAAAAAATCATCAATTTTTTTTGAAAACATTATCAACTCGATTATGATTGATTTGATTTGTGCAGGAAAACAAAAAGTTTTTCGTTGATTTTTGTATTGAAAAAAGATTTTATACTTGGCAATCGAATCATTTTTTTGGATTCAATTTAGCATGAAATTTTTTTTTCATTTTCATATTGAATATACGATTTGAATTGAATAAGGATTTCAAGAATCATAATCAATATTGGATTTGTTTATATCATTGATTGATTCATCAATTGAATCAAACATTGTAAAACATTGAATGATCAATGATACAAAATAATGTATTTTACTAATTTTATGTTTTAATTTGATAATATCATAGATAGAAACACTGATAAATTTTTTTTTTGGCCAGATTGATTCATCAGGCTTCAGGGCATTGTTTGTTTGTGTGTGTTATTGTTGTTCAATGGGAAAAAGAAACTTCATAATTCATTCATTGATCATAATTTAATATTTCTCATTTTTTTTCTTTGGTTGTTTCGATACAATAATAATCAATTGAACCGCAATGGCCAAAATTGGAAACATTCATCGAAACACCAACATTTTGGTAAAACTTTGAACTTTTTTCTCTTTTTCTTCTTCTACTTCTGGATAAATGATAAGTCGTTCAATCATTTAATGTCATTTTGAAATATATATTAGATTTATGTATTTGTGTGGCCTAAATTCATTCATATGAATTTTTTGATTATGAAATTGTTAATAATGAAAAAAAATGGCCAATCCAATTCTGTCATAATATTGATGAATGAAAATATAATAAAAATTTTACAGTTACTTGAACAAATATAATGTATGGTAACTTTACAATATTTGCCATATTTGCTACGCGAGTGCGGTATCGTGGTGCTCATCATGTGTGTGTGGTATAAAAGTCGGTAATAGATCATTCGATGATGATGATGATGATGATGATAATGGCCATCAATGTATCAATTGAACCATATGATTAATGAATGAATGAATTTGGCTAATTGAAAATCATAACAAATCGTTGGTGGTTTTTAAAAATTGAATTTTCTTTCGTTCCGTATTTTTTTTTTATTGCTTTCAAATAAAAATCACTTAAAGTTAATCATTAAAAATTTTCAAAGTTTGAATTTAAATTAGTTTGAATTGGGGAAAAAATGAAATCTTTAATAAAACATTTAATTCATCGATAACCGAACGACGACCGGTAAACAACGTTTCTTTTGAAATGATTATTAATCCTTACCGTTTTTCAATGTCAAATAGACAGAAGAAAATAAAAGAAAAGAAAAAGATTTGTAACAATAAACCAAATGTCAAATGCCGTGCCCAATTCGAATGGAAATATTTTCTGTTTTGAGTTTTTCAGTTTCTTTGGATTTCAGAAACTTTATTAGTTATAATCAATAATTAATCAATCGTAACGAAAGGATTATATTTATTTATCGATAAATGAAATGAAAAGAAATGAAAAGATTTTTCTTATTTTGGAAAAGTAACTGAAAAAAATCCAATACAGAAAATTGTTATTAACTGAACAATGGGATGGAAAATCTTCAATTTTTCATCCATTTTTATATTGATCAACTTAACTAATTTATTATATAATTAACCTTTTTAATACTAAATATAAATATATGATTTTAGATTTAATCTACTTCAGATAAAGGTCATATATTCAACTTGCAAATACAACAAGGTCGAATCATAAACTGAATTTCTTGGTTGAGAAAATGAGAAATTGAAAGAGTTTATCCTCATAATATTTCATCGGTTGATTAATGAATGTGTGTCTGTGTGTGTATCTACAGTGAGAAATGTGATGCAGAATGTAAACATCGGTAATTTCAATGATGTGCCAAACTGTTTTTTCTGATTTTAAAAAATGATTTTCTTTTTTTTTGATGACTTAATTTATTTCTAACCCATTCTATTTCCAGCCAGAAAAAAAATTGATGTTTAAATATTGACAGAAATTTTCCTGGAATTATTTTTTTCATAAAAAAGAAAACAGTTTGAAAAAACAGAGTTTCAGTAATCCTTTTGGTCCACTTTTGAATTTTTGTTTGTTTATGTTTGTTTATTACAGAGTATCTCAATATTTGTTTCCAAATCTCAAAATGATTCCGAATAACTATTTAAAATTGTGAACGATGTTAAACGTTGATTTTTTTTCTAAAAAAGCAAACAAACAAAAACAGATATCAAAAACAATCAACGGGTTAACACGATAAACAAACAGAAAAGAAAAAGAAAAATGAAAAAACCACACATGTGAAAAAAAATTATGAGAATGAAAGAGAGATAAAAACCCAGGGTTAACCCAGTGATTTCGATGATTATGATGATTTCCTTTCGCTTATATTCACTTATTTGTAATTGTGTCAATTTTTGACAAACAAACAAACAAACAAACATAGATAAAGAATGAGTGAATAAAAAAGAAAGAGAGAGAGAAAATTTTCATGTCAAGTGGGATAATTTATTGCCACAATTAACAATTCAAGTTTTAGTGAACGGATCCTGGATCAAAGAAACAAACAAACAAAAAAACAGAGCATTAACTAAGACGAACAAAGGAGAGTGATGATGGTGGTGGCAAAGTTTTCATATTTTGAGATTTAAAAAAAAAATTTTATTATTCCAATGAATTGAATATGAAATTAGGGTTAATAAATAACAATGATAATGATTGTGAGATCCGTTTATTATTATTATTAGTTTTATTGAAAAAAAAGTTCAAAATTCAAAATCAAATCCATTCATTTATCCATCCGACCGTACTGAAAGTCAATTGACTAGATTAATTTTTTTTCTGTTTTGAATCAATCGATTGAATATTTTCAAATGGATTTTTTTTCTAATTTTCATGGTCATTGGATTATTATAACTCTTTTTTTTTGTTTGTTCTCGATCAATAGTTTTAATTGGAGTTTTCCTAATGATGATGATGATTAATACGATTTTATTTTTTGGCAAGGGAAAAACCTTGAAAATGAAATTGGAAATTTTTCTGGCAACAAATCCGGATCTGTTTGACTTTTTTGATTTGCTTGTGAAAATTAATTATCCAATCATCAATTCTACCTGAACATATGTGCGCACGTGTGTGTGTGTTTTGACCCGAATTGAATATAAATAAATAAATAAATTATTCAAATGTTGAATGAAGAAAAAGTATGAATAAAATTAGGTGAAATAGAAAAGACTTTAAGAAGTGGAAATCAGTTCCATCAGATAATAATAATAAAGAAAGAAACCGCACACACGTTTTAACTTTGGGAAAATGAATTGAGCAGCCAAAACCATATGATGAAGATGACGTCTTTATTTAGTTTTAAATAACGTCGTTTTTCTGTTTGTTTGGTTCAATTGATGATTGATGATGATGATGATGACACGAACAATAAATTTACCTTTTTTTTCTGGATAAATGATCAATTGGTAGAAAATTTCATTCAATGTATGAATGAATGTTTTTCCTCTTCTTTTTTTTCGTGAATTTCAAAACAAACCGATTTGTTTATTTCACACATTTCATTATATCATTTATTTATGCAGAAAGAAAAGAAAAGAAAAGGAAGAAAAATCTTAAGAAATTGTCGAAGCGAACAACGAATAAAAAAGAAAAAAAGAGACGTTAAATTTCATGATCATCATCGATATTGGTCGGATATCACCGGTAATAACAATTTGTAACCAATTTGAAACTAATTTCAATATCAATACCACCACTCTCTCTCTCTGTTTTTGTTCTGACAAAAAGAAAATAAAAAAACAAATTTTCTCTTTTTGTTGTTCTCCATCTCTGGTTTGACAACTCAATTGAAATTTTATTTCAACGTTTTGTTCCATTCATTCATTTGATTCATTGAAATGAAATTTATTCATCAAATTCAAATTCATTTTATTTAAATTTGAAATTATGTTTCATTTTCTTTCAAAAACAACAACCATTATCATCTTCCATTGATGATGATGAATTAATAATAATCCTGGTTCAACCATAATGGAATTCCAATGAATGTTTTTCGTCCCAATCCGTTTCACTTTGGATATTTTTTTTAGCTGTTTTTTTTTGGAATATTTTTACTTTTTTTTCCTTAGTGAAAACTTAATCTAATTTGAATATTCTTTTTTTCGAATTATTCGGCTATAAATTCACTAAAAAAAAAATGCCAAATAAATCTGTTTGTTTGATATGTATTCAATGTTTCATTGTTTTGTTACCACCATAATTGTTTTATCAATCATTGTTGTTGTTGTTGTCGATGGTGATGAAAATTGTTGGCAAACAAAGAAAACTTTAAAGAAATGTGTGGATGAAGTTAGTGAAAATTGGTCTTGTATCATACAATTAGGTACTGATGAATATATTCAATCATCATCATCAAATCAAACTATCAATAAACCAAAATTAACAAAACAAATTCTAATGAATTGTGGTCCAAATGAACCAATGATTTGTTGTCCAATATGGAATTTTATCAATTGTATTCGAGATGTATGTTCAACAAATCCATCATCATATATGGATGATATATCGGAAATTCAACGAAAAAATTGTCCAAATTTTCATTATGATTCGATTGAATGTGAAAAATATGGACAATTTATACGTAATCAATTTATGTTGGATTTATTCGATGATGATAAGATTGTTGAACGATCATCATCACATCGAACAAAAAAATCAATTTTACATTATAAAAATAATATTAATAATCAATTAGATTCAACATCAAACATTAATGATGATAATGATTCAACATTAGCTACAATGTCATTACCAAAATTTACAACCAAAATAACCATTTTGAATCCAAAATTAACACCAGATTTACTACGAACATTACAATATTTATTATTTTGGATTATAATTTATGTTACGGTCGTCGTATTTGGACCATTTCTTATCAATGATATACATTCGAGTGATTCAGATCAAGATCCAAATAGTGTTGATTATGAATACGTTTAAAACGACAACGACGACTACGCACATCGATACAATCGATTCAATGCCAACTTTATCGGATCAATTAAGAAAACAAAAAACAAAAAATCAATCAATTTGAATCTCTAGAATGATATATTTAATGTTTGCCAATGTGTATTAATAGTTTGTTTTTTTTTGAAAAATATGGACAATAATTTTTGTTTTCCGGTGAAAGATCTTTACGGGCAATTGTGAGAAAACCACAAAATTTAAAACCGAAAAATAAATAACGAAAATTTTGAAGAAACAAAAATGATAAAGAAAATTTTCAATTTAAATACAAAGAATATTATGGAAAATATACACACAGGACAAGATATTCATTAACGGTTCGGTTCGATGATTCGGGCATTTTTATGATGCATTTTTTCAAATTAAAAAAAACAAAATTAAAATTATTCTCTTCGTTCAAATAATGATAATGAACAATTATTATGACTAACAATATTGAATAACATGTGTGTACTCTTTGTTTCATAAACATCTTAGTTTCTAAATTTTTTTTTCATGGATTAATTATATACAATGTGATGATAAATATAAATATGAATAATCTCCTAAATAATGATATAAAATATTTATAAATTAAGAATAAAAATTAAACTTTATATTCTTGATATTGTAATGATGGTCGATGTTTACGATAAACTTTCATTCGATTATCACCATTATTATCATCATTATCATTATCATTTGCATTCGATTCGGATGTTGTTGTTGTTGTTGTTGTAGCTGTTGATAATGATGATGAATCAATTGTAGCCATTTTATTGATTACATTGTTATTATCATTAATTTTGATGGATGTTTTATCAACATTTTTATTGTTATTATCATCATCATCATCATTACAACAACAGCTAGTCGATTCAGATTCAGTAGTAGTAGTAGTAGTGGTTGTAGCTTCAGAAGGAATTTCCATTTCCAAATCTTGTTTGGCCATCATCATAAAACGTTTATTATGATCATCATCATCATCATCATCATCGTGATCAATTAGATCCTGTTTCAATGCTAACATTAATGATTGTTCCTGTAATCGTAATTCACGACGTTGTTTTCGTCGAAGAATTGTTGCCATCGATAATGTTGATGCAGATATATCGGATGATGATGTATCCGATGTTGTAATCATTGTCATTGTCATCATTGTATTTGTTGCTGTTGATTGATCCGAACCAATTGATGATGTTGTATTGGTCATTTTTTTCAATTGTCCAATCAATATTTCTTCTTCTTCGGTTGTAATTATATTATCAAATATTTCTTCTTCTGGTACAGGTGTTACTATGAATCGTGATTGTTTCAATGATGGTAATGTTGATGTTATTGCTGTTGACCGGTCATCGTCGGTGTTGTTGTTGTTGTTGCTGTGACTGATGATTGCATTGTTGATTGTTGTTGCTGTTGTTGTTGTTGTTGAGCACGTGTTTGTTGTATTAATTGTTGAAAATGATATTGTCGGGCCATCTCTTCGAGCCAATGTCGTGGTAATGTACAATAATTGTTCGGCGCTGTTTGCTGTTGTTGTTGTTGTTGCTGCTGTATTAAATTTACTGCTGCTGTCATCGTCATCGGATATGGAAATGGATTCATTTGTGAAAATTGTTCTGCACCCATATGGATTGAATAATCTTGTTGCTCCTGTTGTTGTTGTTGTTGCTGTTGGTGATGTTGACGACGTTGTTGATGTAATTGCGGAAGTAATTGTTGTGATAATCGTTGTGGGAGTTGAATGGGCAATGATTGACGATTCGAACGACGTATTGAACACTGAAAAAAACAAAACAAAAAAATCAGAATAAAATTTAGAAAATTTCAAAGTAAAATAAATGGAAAAATTAAAAACAAGAAATCTCTACAATCTCTATGCATTGTGTATATATAGAATCTAATGAATGTTTGATGATTGTTAAAATGATTTTTTCAACAAAAAAAAATGACAAACGAAAACTACATTCCGGTAACGACGGCAATAAAGATTCATCAGATTCTATATATACACAATACATAGAGATTGTAGAGATTCAACCGTCGTTCAAATCTTTGAAATCAATTCAAAACAAAAAAAAAATTAAAAAGAAAGTTTCTTACAGGAAGTGCCTCTTCACTTGCACTTCGTGTTAATGAATTAAGACCATTATTGCTTCCGATACTGCCACCATCAAGTTGTTGAAATTGTTGTTGATTATTATTGAATAAAAAATTGACACCAAAACTACCACCACCACCACCGCTGACACCATTATTATTATCGATTATACCACCAGTATCATTTGTCATCGACATTATTAAATTATTGAAACCAGAAAATTGTGAATTTATATCGGCATTTAGATCGGAATCGAATGCACTACCATTTTCTTCATAATCATAATCATCATCATCTTCATCACTACAAACATCAACATCATCATCATCTTCGTCATCAATATCATCATCATTATTATCATCATCATCAACATCATCGGAAGAACCATCCATCAGATTACAACGATTCATACGACGACGACGACGATGTCTTCGATCACCACCACCACCACTATTATTGTTTCGATTAATACCAATACTATTTCCATTATGTTGATTACTACAACCACCACCACTATCACTCATATCATTTCCGGTAGCAATACAATCAATCATATCATCTTCACGTGCTGTAGTCGATGTTGTTGTTGATGTTGTTGTCGATGGTGACATTGGTGGTAATGTTGCAAAATATGATGATGATGTTGGTGCCGTTGTTGATGTATATGGATTATAATTAGTTGATCGTGTTCTGTGTTCCAAAAATGAAAACAATTTCATTAATTAATGGAAAAATGATTAAAATTTCGGTAAAAATTTATACATACCTACAAGTTGTTGAAGATGGTGGTGGCGGTGGTGGTATCATTCGAGCTGTTTGTTTAACAAAACCTTGTAAATTTGTTCCCATATAATAATCAAGATCAAATTTTAATTGTGAAGATTGATTTGATGGTCGTGATAATGAATTACCACCAGCACTAGTAATACTACCCCCACCACCACCAATACCACTATATAAATCTGAACTATCAGTAGTAGCAACCGTACCTCCTCCTCCTGCACCTGTACCACCACCTTGATTACCACCGGATGTTGTTGAAAGGCCACCAGGTGCGGATGCTGGTGCTGAACCACCACCACCAAGTTCATCTAATTGTTGTAAAAGATGTGCTAGATTACGAATTTTTATTGTTGATGATGAGCCAGCACCAACATTAGCCGTTCCACTTCCTGGAATAACATTTGCGGATACAGATGTTGATGATGTATGATGAGGACCATGAAGATCGTTCGATATATCAACAGCACCACCAGTAGGCGTAATTTTTTGAAATTGTTCATTAATCTTCATCAAACCTGAATAAACGAAAACAAAAAAAAAATGGTAAGAAAAATGTAATCAAATTCAAAGTTAATTAACTGTATATTTTCCAGGATTTTTACTTGTATTGAAATTGAAAATTCAAGTCACACACACACAAAAACAATGGTCGAAAAAAAAATTCTGGTCCAAATAAGAATGATGATGTTGATGGTTAACGAAATTCTTAATAAATCAATGTATTTTTTTTTCTATTTATTTATCCAGAAGAGAAAATTTTCCTTCAATTCTTTTCAACCAATATAATCAATTGGAAGATGAATGATTTTTTTTTACCCCAGAAAAAAAAACAAAAACAAAACAAAATGAAAATCATTTGTATTTAAATATAGAAAAGATTTCAAGGCTAATGATATTTCTGCTACTGCTACTGGTTTTGTTGATCATCATCATCAGTGGAAAATCAATTAATCACACAACAACAACAACGAAACAAAAATCATCAAATTGTCAACCGAGAGAGAAAGAAAAAAAAACATCAGGAAAAATTCTAAACTAACGATCCAAATTCAAACAGTTCATTTTTGTAACATATAAACAAACATCAATATCAGATCAGATTTAGATCAGAAAAAGCGAAACAATTTTCTGTTTTTTTTTTCAGGGAAAAAACAAACGGGGGAATATAAATGGCAAATGGCTAAATGATCTTTGGCACCAGTGAAACAACAACAACATTTCATTCATCAAGAAAGTTCCTGAAAAACATTGAATTCTGAAAGAAAATTTTTAAATGTAAAATTGATGTTAACATAGCAAAAAAAAACTAACTTAAACGAAAAACTTTCGATCCATATTCAAAAAGAAGACTAAAGTCGAAAAGATCCAAAAATGAAAAAATTTTGGAACTTTTTTTTTTACGTTTTAAAATCTTTTTTTTTTTATTTTGCAACTTGCTATGTGATTCAAATTATCGATTTTTGTTTTCTCTCTCTCTCTCGCAACTATACCAGAAAAAAAACAGACAGACAGACAGACAATGATGGAATGAATGAAGAAAATCTTTAGGAAGCAAAAAAATGGAAAATTTTTTTCCTTTCTTCCTTCATATATATGAATCTCAGGATTGTAATCGATAATTTCTGTTTTTATTTTCTCGTTTATAAAAAGGCAGAAAATAATTTTTTTTTAACATCGAAATTCTTTATTTTTTCCTTATCCTTTTTTCTTTTTCTCTCTTACAAATGACAATGACTGAATACTTGAGATGTAGGCGGCCGCCATTTTGATTCGATGGATGGATGGATGGATGGATGGATGGATGGATGGATAGAATATTGATTGAGCAAAGATTGAGAATAACACTAACCAACCAACCAACCGACCGACTAGCACATCACACCCGAAAAAAATGAAGAATTTTTCTCATTGAAAAAAAAAAGAAAAGATGAAAAAAAATGGAAATCGGTTCGGTTTTTTTCATCATCGTCGAATGAAATGATAAAATAAACTAAAGCTTTTTTCTTCTTTGAAAAAAAATATCTAAGAATAGAAATGGAAACTATAGTGAATCAATGTTTGAATGAAAAGATAAGTTTAGCATTCTTATTTTTTTCTATTTTAGATTTCTTCATCTATTGAGTATATATGTGATGTTTTAAATCTCTACTTAAACGAAATGATAATATTAACAGCAAAAAAAAATTAATTTTCTACAATATATGACCAACAAGGATAAAGTAAGTAAAAGATTCTATATATACACTAGAATAAAAGAATCAGAAAGAGGGAATCAAGCTTATCGCAAGTAGTGAAAAAATGAATGATAAAATACTGGAATACAGTGTCATTGTCATTTCTTTCTAAAATGATTCTTTTTTTTCAGAGAAAATTTTAAAGAATTTTTTCACAATTTTTAATTGAAATGATGATGATGAAATTCAAATTTTTAAAACTAATCATTCAGAACGTAAATTCCAAGGAAAAACTATTTTTTTTTCAATCGTAACAATAGGATATTTTCATTCTTTCGTCTTTCATTCTGATGATGATGATGTCATTGGATCAGAACCAAAAAAAAAAGAGATTTGAAAAATTTTATTCCAATTCTGTAGGATTCAAAGTGGATTCTTAATGGATTTAATGAAGCGCATAGATTTTTGTTTTGTTTTGTTTTGTTTCTTTCAATTTTTTGATTCTGTCTTTTTTTTCTCTCAAAACGAATTTTGCGTAACGAATTTATCGAAAAAATAAATTGGCCTTACGGGCTTCATTGGTTCGTTGAAGAAATAAAAATAAAAATAATAAAATCTAAAGAATCTCTAAATCTCGATAATCAATTGTTTTTTGTTGTTTCACAAAAACAAATTGTTTGTTCGTATAGAAAATAAATTTATATATTCAACTTATACAAATACAGAAAACAGAAACTTTTTTGAAACAATCAAATCTTTTTTGGTATACGAATAACGTAATGTAAACGAAGAATATTAAAAGTCATCATATTAAATGAAATGAAATGAAACAAACGAACGAACGAATCATCATTATTCCAATACAGTCAAATAATTCTTGGTTGTAATTGTTTTTTTTCTCCTAACTTTTTCTTCTTCTTCTGGTTGATTCTTGATTAATACAGTTAGTGCGTGTGTATATATTAAGTAGGCCAAAGAAAATTTTAATTTTGGCTTTATTTTTTTTCGGGAAACGACCATAAAAGAATCAAGAATAATTTTCCATATGAATAATTTTTCTTTCTTTTTTTTTGGATTCTCATTTTCATTTTGAATCCCAGGATCAACTAATATCACTAAACTGAAATTTGTTGTGTGTGTAAAGTAGCAAATTGATTGAACGAAAATAATTTGAAATATCAAACGATCTGAAAACAGAAAAACAAAAATCAATCGAATCCGTTTTCAAACGAACAAATGAAAGAAAGAATAGAAAAAATGGAATTAAAATAAAACAAACAAAATTAACAACGATAATAATAATGATTATGATTGGTGTGTGTGTTTGTTTGTGTGTGTGTTTACCATGATAAAACCATTGAAATTAAATGATTTTTTGCTTTCGCTTTTCTATTTGGTTTGAAGAATTGAGAATTCTAATAATAATAATCATCATCATCGTTATAATTTAACGAATACGTAATTATTTTGTACAACATTGAAGAAAAGCAACAAAAACAACAACAAAATAATACAGGAACAGCAGCAGAATAAGAAATAATGATGGAAACAAATTTTCCAAATAGAAAATCAGTATGTATGTATGTATTCTTGGGGTTGATTCGTTTTCTGAAGTTCTGGTTTTGGCTATTGATAAAAGTATTTGGAAAAAAAGCAATAAGAGAGTGGGGCAAAACAAAATCAAACAACAACCAAAAATAAATGATGATGATAAATGGAACTGTGATGAGAAATGAAAACAAACAAACAAATCGAATAAGAAGAAAAAACTTGAATAATGTTTATGATGATGATGATGATGAAACGTAAATACCAAAGCCCACTTTTCTTGGCACAATCAATTGATCGTTTTGATGTAATAACTAAATAAAAAAAAAATATGAAAGAAATTTTCGTTCTTAATTAAGACAAAAATTCTTTCATTTGTCCACTATTTTTTTGTTGTTGTTGGAGCCATTGAATGTCGGATATTGATCGATCCACAATTATTGATAGACCCTTGGGTCCACCATGTTATTATTATTATCATCATCATTAGTTGTATATTACGTTATTATATTATATTAAAGTAGAATAAATGATGGATAAGAATTTGATTTTTTTGTTTGTTTGTTTGTTGTTTATTTGATTCAAATGGATCAATTTTTTTTTTGAATCTCTAGTCTTTCTTATCTTCAACAATATCGATATTATTATTGTCGTTAGAAAAGATTGCAAAATTTTCCGGTTTCATTGGTGGTGGTGGACGTGGTATTGATAGCCAAACTTTAAAACCATCATATATAAACCATTGTGCAGCTGTTAATGTACCAATCATTATGATACGTGGCATAAGACCTTTCCAAACACCGATTGGTCCTAATTTACCAAGTACATTAATCCAAGTTGATCCACGATCTTGATTCAATTTTGATACAACTGTATCGGCTGGATGTGATACAATAGCACAGAATATACCGGCAATATAACCGGCTAAAAATGTAATAGTTAATTGTTCAACTTTACTACATTTATCACGTGGTTTAGGTACAACATTACGATATAACCATTCAACAGTACGTTCAAAGCAAGCAAATTTCATCATTGTATATGGTATTTGACGAAACCAAAGTGGTATTAAACCTTTATAAAAACCGGCCATTCCTTCTTGACGATAAATCAATGGTACTACACGTCGAAATTCTGATGGACAATTTTTCGATGTTTGTGTTCGAACTTTACATGCTTCGAATGGAGCCAATGCAATGTCAGCAAAAAATTCTGCCGAAGCTGATGCAGCCAAATATAATGATGTACGATAATGATAAGAATTTTCTGGTCCCAATATTTTCGAATAAAAATTTTTGAATAATTCATAGAAACCAAATTTACCAAGACCTTGACAAGAATAGCCAAAAGCAGTTGGTGCCCAACCTCTACCAAGTCCACGTAAACCACCTTCATGAAGATATGAAATTAAAAAACCATTGGTTATATTACGATAACGTTTTGGATCAACCTGTATACGACATTTAATTAGATCTAATGGTGTTAACATTGTATGTGTCAAACCACAACTAATTGCACCACCAGCTGCACAAAGTACATAATATTTGGTCGAACCAAATACAATGTTTTTTGTTTGATTATTGCCATTATTATCATTTGAACAGGATGCAAAACGTAATAAATTCATTTTTTGAAGATTGTTATATTTTCGTAAATTAAAACAATTTTGATTGAAAACAAAAATTAAAAAAAAAACGATGACGTTGGGAAAAAAACGTGGTCGCTATTTTTATAACAATTCGAACAATAACAACAACAAAAAAAAAAAAAAAACAACGAACAATTCGAACATATTTTCGCAACAGCCGTAACGTCATTTATGACCGTTATACTATTTTTTTTCAAAAATCAAAATGAAAATCAATTATTGAATTACCCGAATAACGATCGAAGAAAGAAAACTAATAAATCGATAACGAAGAAAAAACTTTTTTTTTTGAAAAAAAAAATTTAAAACTTTAAAGTCAGGAACAAATGAAATTTGATTCTGTTCTGTTATTCACATCCGAAAGATTTTTGAAAAACTTTTCAAAATATTCTGTAGATCAACTAACGATGTTGATGTTGTAGTAAAATGAAAAAAAATCCTGTCAACGAAAAAAAAAATCAACATCATAATGATGATAATCAAATCAATTCTATTCAAGTGATGCAAAAAATTTTCAACACTTTTCGCGTTCCTGTTTGTTGTTTTAATTACAATAATTTCATCCTGTCATCCCTACTTTTATTCATTTCATTTTGTGTGTGTGTTGTTTTTGTTTAAAATAACAACGACAAAACAACAACGATGACAATTTGCTTTCATTAAATACACAGGACACACACACACACACACACACACACATACATATGATTTGAATGTAGTTTAACAAAACAAATGATGTTTGGTCCAAAAAAAAAAATCATCAAAATCAAAACACAGAATCCTAAAACTGTTTTTTTTATCCAAACAAAACAAAACGAAAACAGAAAAAACATTTTCGGCAACAAATAAAAAACAACAACAAACGGGCAATGTAATTAAATTTAATTTAATTCTTTGATGTTTGTTTTTCATTTAAAAAACACACACAGTTGAATCGTTGATCATCGTTTTGTTTTGAAAATCAACCCGAAAAATACAGTGTTTTATGATGATGATNACATAATATTTGGTCGAACCAAATACAATGTTTTTTGTTTGATTATTGCCATTATTATCATTTGAACAGGATGCAAAACGTAATAAATTCATTTTTTGAAGATTGTTATATTTTCGTAAATTAAAACAATTTTGATTGAAAACAAAAAATTAAAAAAAAACGATGACGTTGGAAAAAAACGTGGCCGCTGTTTTTATAATAATTCGAACAACAACAACAAAAAAAAACAACGAACAATTCGAACATATTTTCGCAACAGCCGTAACGTAGTTTATGACCGTTATTCGATTTTTTTAAAGAATCAAAATGAAAATCAATTATTGAATTACCCGAACAACGAAGGAAAAAAAACTAATAAATCGATAACGAAGAAAAAACTTTTTTAAAAACTTTAAAGTCAGGAACAAATGAAATTTGATTCTGTTGTGTTATTCACATCCGAAAGATTTTTGAAAAACTTTTCAAAATAAATTCTGTAGATCAACTGCTGTTGTAGTAAAATGAAGAAAATCCTGTCAACGAAAAAAATCAACATCAATGATGTTGATGATAATCAAATCAATTCTATTCAAGTGATGCAAAATTTTCAACACTTTTCGCGTTCCTGTTGTTGTTTTAATTACAATAATTTCATCTTGTCATTTACTTTCATTCATTTCATTTCGTGTTTGTTGTTTTTGTTTAAAATAACAACGACGACGATGACAATTTGTTTTCATTAAATACACAGGACACACACATACATATGATTTGAATGTTAGTTTAACAAAACAAATGATGGTCCAAAAAAAATCATCAAAATCAAAACACAGAATCCTAAAACTGTTGTTTTTATCTAAACAAAACGAAAACATTTTCGGCAACAAATAAAAAACAAAAACAACAACAAACGGGCAATGTAATTAAATTTAATTTAATTCTTTGATGTTTGTTTTTCATTTAAAAAACACACACAGTTGAATCGTTGATCATCGTTTTGTTTTGAAAATCAACCCGAAAAATACAGTGTTTTATGATGATGATGACAGCTATACGGAGAAAAAAATAACGTTCAGAACTATCGTCTGATCTAATCTGATGATGGTGTGAAAACATCTTTGTTGTTGTTGTTGTCAAAACAAGAATGTTTCAAAATTTTGTTTTTGAAATGAAATGAAAAAAAAATTGATTCTTTCTATGAAATCATCATCATCATCATTATTAATGTCATTTTTTTTGTTGTTTGTTTCAAAAATGATTGTGTCAGTCATCAACTTTTACACGCAGAAAAAAATTCTGTTTAAAATTTGAAAAAATGAAAATTTTTCAAACGACAAACCAAACAAAAAATCCTCCTGGGTTTTTCAATTATCATCATTCAAAATTATGAAATAAACGAAAAAAAATTCTGAATCGGAAACCAAAAACATTGCCGAAAGATTTCTTTAATTTCAATTTTCAAATTCCGAAAAGTAGAGACAAAAATGACTATAGCGAAAACAAGCAAAAAAACATTTCCGATTAATTTCTGTAACCGGTTATATGATACCGGATGATGATGTACATACCAAAAACAACAACAACAACAACAACAAAATGACCATCTTTTATATTATCATAAATGATACATGATGATGAAACATGATTCGATTCGTTTTGTTGTTAAATTGTTTAACATTATTGATTTTTTTCTTCTTGTTTTTCTTTTTTTTCGGACATTCCAAAACAAAGTTACCGGGTAAATTTATCTGGGAAAATGGAAACCATTTCTTCAATTAATCGATAGCCAAAAACAAAATCAAATCAAATGTGAAAACATTTACGGAATAATGATTCAGTAGTAGCTTGATGAACTACTTGAATATTTCTTTCTCCGGGTACATGTTGGATAAACATACTTCCTTTTTGGAAGAAAAAAAGTTTTCATCATTGAAGAATCATCAAGAATTCCGGTTTTCCATGAAACTAGTGTGTGTGTGTGATGAGACTAACTAATTACCGATAACAGCAACAACAAGAAATTTTTGAAGTTTTTTTTATAAATTTTTGAAGTTTTTTTTGAAGTTTTGTTTACAAATATTGATGTCTACTGAGATTGTGACGGTTAAAAAATGATTCGGGTGAATCAAAACAACAACAACAACAACAAACCTAACCAACTGGAAAACAACTTTATCAACCAAAACAAAAAAAAATGGTTAGTTGATTGTTTCTAGAAAAATGCTTGTTTCGAGGAAAAAAAACAAAATGAAATCCTTTTCTTGGCTATCCATCAATGATAACGAATCAATCGATTCGAGTGTTCTACGGTATAATCGATGTGCAGAATTGATTTTTTTAAATTGGACAAAAAATGAAAAAAAAATTCAGAGAAAATCATCGAATGAAGAACATCGAACAAAATTTTAAAATTTCTACTTTCAATCAGAAGTAAAAGTGGAAATTTGAAATTAAGTTCCATAAAAATCACTTTTCCAAAAGTATCTCATGTTTGTTTTGTTTGTATTCGAAAAAAGGTTTCTCAACAACAAAAAAAAAATCAAAATGACCAAGAACAACAAAGCCATTATATAATTGCTGTTACACACAAACACACTTGTCAACTTGAATGTAAGGAGACAATCAAGGTTTTCCTGTTGTTGTTGTTGTTGTTGTTTTTTGATTGAAACATAAAGTGCACAACAACAACAACAACAACAACAAAATGTACATTATGATAACGTTCATCAATCTCGAAAAAAAAAATGAAATAAATGAATGATTCTTTCATATAAATACCGGGTTTTCATTCTTTCCCGGTTCGATATCGACCGATCATCATCATCATCATCTGGATATGGAGAAAATGGCGCGAAATGGACCCTAATTAAGATCAAATTTACTTTCAGTATATTTTGTTTTTCCTCTCTCTCTCCATCTCTTTTTGTTATATAAGTTTTCTTGAAAAGTTTTACTTTCACTCTCTCGTTTTTCTTGTTGTTGATGATGATCTCTCCTACTCACTTGATGAGAATGTTTTCATATTGTTGAAGAATTGATTTTTTTGTTTCCAAGAAGAACCATAAACGAAATTCATACGGGTTTTTTTTCCTACCATTTTACCATTCGGTCGATTTCGGACAAAAAATATAAAGAAAACATCAAAGCCATTAGTTATAAAATCTAGGAACTCAAAAAAAAACACATACTGATTGTTAGTGAAAAAAAGAACCCAAAAAAATGAAACAGAAAAAAACCACCATTATCATCATCATAGAAAAGATGGCTCGAATCGAGTGAAAATGAACAACGAAGAAAATAAAAAAAAAACAGATTCTTTGGTCACATTATCATCATCATAGCATCCCTTACAAGCATATTCTTTTCAAAGTAATGTTTTTGAACCAAAAAAAAAAAAAAGAAGAAATCATTTCATTTTCTTTGAAGCATCGCGCACACACACACATTGTAAATATATCCGATGCGGATATTTTTAGAACAAAATAATAATAATATTAGATTGGCGACAACTATGTAATTAATTACATCATCATCATCATTGAATTTTTCTGTTTTTTGTTTCTTTTGAAACATGAAATTAAATTTTTTCTTTTCCTTTTTTTAAACTTTAAATTTTCGGTTATCAAAAGAACAATTTTTATCCAAAAAAATAACGAAACATTCGAATATCAATCAATTAATGATTATATCGATTGTATCGATTGTATAGGAAATTGACAGGAATCTGATTGAATTGAATGATGTTAATTATAGATTACACAAAATGAAAATTGATTTTAAATCCACTTTGTCTCTACTATCTTTCTCTTTGTTTCTAAATTGATTTTGTTGTTTTTGAAGAAATATTTTCAATCCAGAAAACCAATATTTTTTTTAAAAATAAAACAAACTTACCACTTCCATAATCAGAATCGAATAATGTTTTTTTCAAATCCATATGATGACCACCACCATGACTACTACGATGATGTTGATGATGATGAGGATGATGTAAACTACTATGATGTTGTTGTTGTTGTTGATGATGTGAACGATGATGACCAATTAATTGTGATTGTCTTAATAATCCACCGGGTGATATATTTCCTGTTCCAGCACCAACACAAACATCATTATTATTATTATTACTGTTACCAACACCAACACCACTACCACAGATATTGGAAGCACTAATCACAGTACCAGTAACACTATCACTTCCGGTTGTTGTAACACGAACATGTTGTTGTTGTTGTCGTTGAGCTGTTTGTAATGCTTCAAGAATATCTTCATGATAACCATTTAAATTTTTTAATGTTCTTTCAACTTCGGTTAATGGTGATTCAGAACCAGCTGAATCATCATTAGTTGTTGTTGTTGTTGATGATTGTCTATGTAATGAATGTCTTGAATGTCTTAATTCTTGTTCTTGTTGTAATAATGTTGTTGTTCCGGTTGATGATTGTTGTTGTTGTAATGATTGTGAAGGAGGTGGTGGCGGTGGTGGTAATGATATTAATCCAGTTGTTTGTGGTTGTTGTTGTTGTTGCTGTGATTGTGATTGAACACCAACATTAACACTTCCAGTCATAGGATTTACAAGTGAATCATTTGATGATACCATTGCTGCAGCAACAGCAGCTGGTAAATCACCAAACGGTAAATTTGCCTGACTTAGTATTGATGCCCAACGTTGTTGTTGTTGTTGTTGTTGATGTTGTTTATCTTTACAGGATAATTTTGGAAGATTATTTGGTGATAATTCAATAAAACGATGTGTAGTTGCAGTTGATCCACCACCACTACCACCACCAATATTTCTTTCATCAATCAATAAAAGTTCATCATCTTGATCCATTAATGCTGGATCAACTGGTGATGTTGCCGAATCTTTACGATTATCTTTTAAATAAAGATGATGTTGTGTTGATGATGGTGTTGATGATGAATGTTGTTGTTGTTGTTGACCAATGGTCATTCCTGTTAAACCAATCGGTAATGATGGTAATGTTGATTGTTTTTGTTGCTGTTTCATTTCCATCATTTTATCTTCACGATATGAAGGCATTGAACCAAATTTAATAATTCTTGGCATTGAATTTGTATGTGATCCAGTTGTTAAACCGGATAAATCATCAGGTGATGGATGATATCCTGGTAATGAACTAAAAAGATTACCACTACTACCATTATTATTATCATCATAACAGGAAATATGTGGTGGTAATGATGGAAGACCATTGAATGATGAATCACGATGTGCAGCAGCAGCAGCAGCATTTATTTGCATCTGCTTCTTTAACATATGCCGTTCGGTTTTACCTGGCATTAAACTTCGTCGTCTGGAAATTTTGGATCAAAAAGAAAACAAAACAAATATATAATTCATATTTAGAAACAAAACATCGATAAAAACTAAACTAAACCAAAAATGAATTTCATTGAGAAAAAAACCCGGAAAATTTCTGAAAAAAACCAAAAAATTATCTATTAACTAACAGCAGCAGCAGCAGCAAAAACATCAATTAATCCGCAAAATAGTAAAAAAACTTTGAGAATCAATTTCTCAGTGCAACATCATTTACACAAATGATGAGACGCGCACATCAGACGGAAATCCGTTTTTAATTAAAATAAAAATCAAAAAATATCAAACTAAAAAACTAAAAAAAAACTAATAACCCGAATAACCAGAAAAAATCAATCGGATTTTTTCGGTTTTTGCCGAAACAAAACAACCAAATTAAACAACAGAAATGACAATGACAATCTGATTGCAATTAATAAGCTTCTTCTGTAATAATAATCGATTTTTTTGTTGTTGTTGTTGTTGGTCATAAGATCACAAGATACATGATTGAAATGTATTTTGTTTGTGTGTCAACCGGAGAGAGAGAAAGAAAAAATCATAAATTATAAATTAATAAGCGATTAATGTCGAAACATTGAAAGAAATTAAGACGAAAATTTTGAAATTCTGAAATTTTGACAATAACAACAACGAAAAACAAAAAAAAAAAAAAAAACATTCAAAAATCAAACAGATTCAAAACCAGGAAAAAATAACTACAATTACCAAAAGGCCAGAAGAATGGGAAAAAAATGTGCTCGTTGTTGTTATTCTGTTTACGAACAAATTCCGGATCGATTTCCAGAAAAAAAAGAAAATGAAATGAAATTGCAATTTTTTTTATTCGTTCGTTTCATTTGAATTGAATATTCATAATAATCAAAATACATGCAAAGCATCTTATTATTATAGAGTTGTTGTTTCAAAACATCATTGAAACAACAACAACAACAACAACATCAAGTTCCAATTGTTTTTTGGCAATAAAACAAAGCAGAAAAAATCAATCGAATTGAATGCCAAATCAATGAATGAAAGAAAATGAACAGGAAAAAAAAACTTGTGCACTGTGTGTATACTTGGATGAAATTTTATTTTCCTGACGCTGTTGTTTTTCAATTCCGATACAGTGAATATAAATAAATACCGGAAACTAGCGAAAAATTTCAAATGATGATGGTCGGTTGGTTGGAAAAAATGTTTGCAAAAAGCAATGGTGGAGAGGGCAAATTTGGTTTTTGTTTTTGCTTTGGAAACAAATTTAAATAATTTTTTTTTTATAGAAATATAACTCATTCCAAGAATCGAAAGAATCGAAAGAATAGCAAAATCGAAAGAAGAAAAAAAAATCGAAACTGCAATTGAAACTTTTGAAGAAAAAGAGCAAAGCAAAACAAAAACAAAAAATCTAATCAAAATGAAATCTTTTTACTTTATACTTTTTTTTTCTTCGCTATATGAATATTCGGCCGATATCAAATTGAATCGAAATTTTTTGTTTTGTTTTTCATTCACAATAGTGATCACCAACATCAGTGATTGGAAACTTGAAATCGATATGAACAAAATCAAATGATTTTTTTGTTTTGTTTTGTTCTTAGTGAATTTTGGGTCAATCGGTTGGATGGGGGGAAGGAAGAAATGTTTCAAAGTTAAAATTTTTGTTTTTGTTTTTGGATTTTTGGAAACTTTCAAACAAACTTTAATGTTTTTCTTGGTTCGATTTGCTGATTTTCGATCTTTTCAAAATGGAACCCAAAACAACATCAGCAAAATACCTGATTGAAATCAGAAACATTTGTCAAAATAAGAAAGTTTCAATTGAGGAAAATGACAAAATCGATTGAATCGATAGCTAATGTCCATCACAATCATTGATTCTTTTTCCGAGCATAAATACAGTTATAATGATTACTATGTTACGTTAGTTACGAATGTCTCTGAAGAAAAACAGCGTGTTTTTTTATGAATGTATCCGTTGTTAGCTTTTTGCTCATGATTGAAAAAAATATTTTTCGAAAAAAACAATTTTCTATTTTTTACAACCGTGATGTAGAATCATTAGCATGAGCAACATTCCTCTGCATATATAAATACGAAGTTAATGTTTAATAAAGGAGAGACAGTTTTCCTACAGTGACATAAATTTCGAAAAACATTTCGATTATGAAAGAATGGATTAAACCATCACCTTAAGAACAATATCGTATCGATTATTTTCTGTTAATAATCGATGACGCATTGAAATCGCTTTGCAAACGATTCCATTTGATCAGACTCAATCCGATAATCTAAAAATGACGAAAAATTCCCAATGCCTCGAAAGATAACATTGAGTGTAATGATCTGGTGAATGAAATAAAAATTTGTCGGGAGGTTCTTCCTTCGAAAATGGGGTTTTCTCACAAATTTTCGAGTATTTTTCTCGAAATAATTTATTGGAATTATACCCAAATTTTGTGACGCTTCTTCGAATCCTCTTGACGTTGCCAATTACTGTTGCATCATTGGACGAACGTTCATTCTCAAAATTAAAATTAATCAAAAATTATTTAAGATCAACGATACACAAAAATCGTCTAATTTGGCATTATTAAATAAAAATTCGTCAATAAACACGATTGATTTCGACGATTTAGCTGATCGCTTCGCAGTTAATCGTACAAAAAAATCGGACTAGATTTTTGTTTTTATTAAATTTCTGTATATAAAAATAATAATAATTTCATTTTTTTTCAATATGAGAAACTAATAAATATTAATTTTTTTTTTAAATTGATAAAATCTTTTGAATTTTTTTAACACCTTTACTTAAAAAAGGCCCAAAAACTTTGTTTTTCTTTGTCCCTGACCCTGCCATCAGAATGACTTTTTTCGAAATCAAAGAGAAAATAATGTCAAAATCATTATATATATTCTATATATGGAAAATATGGTAATTATTTTAACGACAAACGAAGAGATGAACAACAAAAAAAAAATCCATCTTGACAAATGAACACATCCGAAAAGAAGAGAGAGAATGAAGAAAAGAATTTTTGTAATTATTATTATTATCATCATAATGAATACTAATTATTGTGTTTTTTTTCTCTATAATGCTCGATGAATTGAGTGTTATGAATTTTTCTTCTTTTTTGTTTTTCGTTTTTCTGTTTCATAAAAGAAACATGATTTCAATATTACTCATCATCAAAGGAACTAAATGGAAATTAATTAACCTTTTTTTTGTAAGATACAAACACATGATTTTCACTCATAATTATCATCATCATCGAAAATTATTATTCACATCATCAAGAATAACACTGCGAGAGTGAAGAAAAAAACGGAAACAATGAATCTTTTACTTAACAAACGACACACATAAAGATAAGATAATCATCTTTATAAAAAGAGAATATATGACTATAATTAAAATGAATAATAATCATGTTTTTGTTTCTCTTTTTCTCTCTCTTTTCTTTTTTTAATAATTGAAAAATATGGAAAAAAAATCCAATTCATTCACTTTATAACACTGTGTGAGTGGAAATAGAAATGTGAAAAGGATAAAAACACTTGGATCGTCACCATTCGTCAACCACGAAAAGACTATTTTAGTCGAAATGGATTCCGCACACACACTCACTTAGACAAAAAAAAAGATTGAGTAAAGACCAAGTTATCAACTAAAGTACCACCAGTTTTTTTTTTGGTTCATATTAATATCAAGGTCCGATAATATGGTGTATTGATGCATGAAATTAATATCATCATCATCATCATCATAATCAGTCTATAGAGAGAATGATGATGATTCTCAAAATTCTTCTCCCCCCCGAATATATAAAATTTCTTGTTCAATGAATTTTTCTTTTTTTCATTCTTTTTTCTCGTCGCAACAAAAAAAATGAATCTTTTTTCATTATCATCATCATTATTCTATATCAGAATGAGTGAGTGAAAGGAGAGAGAGAGAGATGCTAATAATGGATGGATTGGCCAACCATCCAACCATGTATATGCTCATACATTGTACATGATGATGATGATGATGATGATGATGATGGACACAACACTTTTGGATCAATGGATGATGATGATGAGTCTGTTGTTTTTAGTTTTTTTTCAGTTTTTTTTTCAGTTTTAAATATTATAACGCTTCAATTGGTCTGTATTCACTTTACCCTATTCTCTTATACACACACACTCTCTCTATACGCTTGACCATCGTTATCATCATAATCATAATCATCATTCGATGATTGTCCGTTATTATATCATAATAATGATGATGATAATAATAACTCATGAAGAAGAGGAAAACAAAGCAAAATCTAGCATTTTTTTTTTGCTTTGTTTTTAGGGAAAATAACATTGTCGTCATTCTCATTACATAATCAATGATGATGTTGATTAGTAATGAGAGAGAATGAATGAATCAAAGTGATATATGAAAGACAATGAATATAATTTATGTAATCAGAAATTAAATTGAGTGAGAATCCTGATGAGTGTTATTATAATTTTGCGAGAAGCAGAGAAAAAAAAGATTCATTTTTTCTACTTTTTATGAAAAAAAAATTCATTCAATCACATGAAAAGAATCTGCCTGCTGTAGTTTTTTGTTTATTCTTGAGGATTATATTTTTTTTTTCTTTCTTTCTGACAAAATTGATTACAAATAAAGTTTTACCGTTCGTTTTTTGATCATTGAATGAATTGAAATTGAATCGAAAGTTTGGAATCAACAACTAAGCTCTCTCTCTCTCTCTCTCTCTCTCTCTCTCTCTCTCTCTCTCTCCTTTCACTCACTCATTCTGATATAGAATAATGATGATGATGATAATGAAAAAAGATTCATTTTTTTTGTTGCGACGAAAAAAAGAATGAAAAAAAGAAAAATTCATTGAACAAGAAATTTTATATATTCGGGGGGNTCTCTCTCTCTCTCTCTCTCTCTCTCTCTCTCTCTCTCTCTCTCTTTTTGAATGATGAATGAATGATGATTTTTCCATTCTCCTCTTGTGTTTTAGATCAATCGAAATTAATTACAATTAATCCTAAAAACAATATTTACATTCATTTCAAAATGTATCAATTTTTTTCATATAAAAAAGTTTTTGATTGATTTCAATCCTTTCGATTTTTTTTTTGTTTCTTCAAAATAGATTTTCATTCTTTGATAATAATAATGATAATAATAATGATCAAGGATTTTTTAACCCAAACTTCTTTATTGGGGAATTTTTTGTTTCTTTTTTTTTCTTTTTGCATTTTCCAATTCGTTAGACAATCATTCATTCATTAAAACAAAAAAAAAATGGAGCAAAGCATCATTGATTTTTCCCATTTTTTCCCATTTTGAATGCAGCAATGAACCGAAACCAAACCCAAAAGTTAGTTAGTTAGTTAGTTAGTTCTTTCTAACTCATTATTCAACAGAATAAAACGAACTCAAACTCGAATCTCCATATATGATAATCATTCATTCATTCATTCGATTTATTAAGGGTTAAGGCAATATATTTAAACTTTTATTATGATGATGATGTTGTTATTCTTAACTATGATGTTTTCTTTTCTTATTTTTTTCGTTTGTTTGTTCACTTAGTTAGTCAACTTTTTAAATTAGAAAGAAAGAAAAATTCTGTCATGCAAAACAACAAAAATGAAAAAAGTAAGCGAAAAAACTAAGATAGAGAATAAAATTGAATTTCATTATTGTTGTTGTTGTTGTGTGTGTGTGTGTTAAATTCTATTCTACAAATAACAACAACAACAATAACAAAGAATAACCCTTTATTCTCCGATAAAAATGATGAGCAAAAAAAAAATTCTTTTAAGCTTAAATACTTTTTTATTCTACACTTTACATTTGACTTTTATTATTCAATGAAATAAAGGATTGTATATATTTTCGGTTTTTTTTTCTTTTTTTTCCTTCCAACTTACCGATAACACATTGCCATTAAGGCAAAAAATATAAATACACCACCAACAATTGATACCAATATTAATGCCGATTGTGCAGCTGATAATGAACTATTTTTACTGTCTATAATTTTTTTCAAACAAACAAATTAAAAATAAACAATTAAATAATCTAAATTGAACGATTTTCAATAAAATTACTTACCATATTCTTTAATATTACGACTTGTCTGGCTGAATAGATTATCCATAAATGTTGTAAAATTTATATTTGGTTCATCGCTGGATGAATTAATTCCAACTACAGGTGTCGATAATAATGGTGGTATTAATAGATCATTTTTATTATTAATACTATTCAAACCTAAAATATTTGGATCAAGTTTGTTTAAAATCAAAATATCATTATCATCATCAAATAAAATAAATAAATACCATCTAAATCAGTTAGACGAATTGATGCTAATTCAGCATCGGTTAAACGATGATTACAATCAATACCCATCCATCCAATATCACATGTACAGGTATTTAAATTTGAACATTGACCATGACCGGAACATATTTCACCGATAATATTTTTTGGACAACCACCACTAACACCATCAGTTTCTCCAATTATATCCATTAATAATGTACATGTTTGATTTATACAAATCTGTTTTGTATCGAATTGAGGAAGAAAAAGAGGAAGAAGAGAAAAAATAACAACAGGAAAAAACAAACTTTTTCATATATAACACAAGTACAAACAAACCTTATTATCTGAACATTTTGTACCATCTTGTATCAGGCCCATATTGATAATATCATCACGAATTGAACCACTTGCAACTTTACATTCAAATTCAATACCACCAGTATAAACCATTGTACGTGAATATTCTTGATTTTTTGCCTTAAACAATGGTACCTGATTACCAAATTGACATTGTAATGAACCGCACATTACATTCCTAAAAATTTAAAATAATTAATATAATTAATGAATGAATTGGAAATTAGTTTTTCAAGAGAAAAAAACACACATAAACAAATTACCCAAACATCATTATTGAATTTTTAGCTAGGAATTTTTTAAACAAACTTACTAATCACCAAGATCATTATCCTTAGCACAAAAAAAACTATAATAAGATTCTTTATTTTTAGAATCTTACCATGTGTGTGCGTGTGGTGGGTGTATAGTCAAATTAATTATTATCATTCGGGGCGAAAAAAAATAGAGATTTTCTTGACTCGACAACAACAACAACAAGCGATAGACAACAACAACAACCGAAAAGAAATCCAAAAAAAATTTATTTTTTTTCAATTTTTCTTTCTCTCTCGTTTTATGGTTTTGTCAGATTTTTGTTTTTCCGTGTTTTTCCCCCCTATTTTTATCATCATCATTAATTTTCATTATAGTTAATTCTAAGAAAAGAAACGAAAAAAAAAATTTCAAAAAAAAAGGAAAAGAATATTCTTTCTCTCCTGCATCACACCATATGGTTCTTCTTTTAAGCTGTGAAATATCATTTAATACCACCATCGTCAATTGAATTGAATTGAATTGAATTCCGACAAAATCCTAATGACAAACAAAAGATGAATTCCAAGAATGCATTTGTAAAGTAACAAATGTCCAATGTTGTTGTTGTTATTTTTGTTGTTGTTGTTGTCGTTTTTTATCGACTATCATCCGAATTGTGTAAAAAAATATATTTGTGATTTCCGGATTTATACGATAAAAGTTTTCTTATTTTGTTACACCGTCAGATACTGATATCATGTTCTATTTCATAGAAGAAAACTAAAAACTAACAAAAAAGATTTCAGAAGAAAATCTGCAATACGATATCGGTCTGTATTTAATTGATGTTCCGTACAATCATCATCATCATTCGTATTCAGTGGATAAAGTTTTTTTCGAAACAAAACAACAATGAAATTCAATGAGAATTCAACGGATATATGTCATCAACACTATCAGGTTCATTAATTTTATTATCATTATCATCATCATCATCATCATCATTAGCATTGGAATCGATCTTGAAAATGATCTCATTTTTTTTTTGAAATGGAAAAAAAGGGTTAAACTTTTTTTCTGTTTGTTTCGTTTATGTTTTGAAAAAGAAAAAAAAATTCCAACCCTTTTTTCCAAAAAGGGTTAACAATTTTAATGATGATGATGATGGTGATGAACAACTAAATTTTAAAATATTCAAATGAAATTCTAACAAAATAAAAAACTTACTCTTCAGTACATTTTAAATGTTGTCCATTTGTATCAACACCACAATTACCACGTATTGTTCCTTGTGCATTAAATTGTTTATAACAAATAGATTCAGATGCTTTAGAATTTTCACCCCATAATATTGAACATTGTCGATTTAATATTGGACATTCACCATTATAACAGAAACCATTGCCATCATTACATGTTTGGCCATTTTTTTTATAAACATCTGGTGGACACTGGTTGTTCATTCATTTATTCGTTCATTCGTTTGTTTGTTTGTTTGTTATTATTGGATTGTGGGCGTCCGTTTTTTTTTTGTTTTGGATCGATATGTTTTTTTTTTTGTTTTCGTTGAACCATGATGTGCCAATGATTCAGCCAAACAAACAAACAAACAAAGATGATGATCAATAAATGTATGATTATTTGGGAAGATTATTTGTGCCAGAACCAGAAATAAAAAAAGTTTTTTCCCGTCATCATTTTCGTTTGTTATGATGATTATTATTTGGTTGATGACCGGATGGTGTTTGATCAATTTTTTTTTTGTTTTTTGTTTTGTTTCAAGTGAAATCAACAACAAAAAGAAAATTTATGAAAATTATAATTAATTAATAAAAGTATTAATTTGTAATTTATATTTTAATTAATTGAATTAAATTGAATTAACTAATTACCTCACCATTATGACCATCACAACGTTCGGCTAGATCACATTCATCGACAGCCATACGGCAAACATGTCCCATTGGTTTTAGCTATAGAAAAAATTGAGAGAAAAAATTTTCAAGAAAAATGGAATGAAATAAATTTTCTGCCTTTATCAATCAAATGAAATTGTGTTGTATTGTGGTCGTTTACATCATCACAGTTGTAAATTTAATGACTATATGAATACATGAATAAACCTTTAGGGCAAAAACAAAACAAAAATATTCAATGTTGGATAATATTGTTGACAAACAAATCAAATTGAATTGAATTGAATTGAATTGAATCGGAAATAATGATATCCAAACAAACAAGCAAAATAGATATTGAGAGAAATGAAAGAGAAATGAAAGAGTTTCATGAATGTAATCAACTTGTAAAAACAACCACACCACTTTACATTTATTTTTCCACTGGTAATTTATATTTATTTAGTCATCACAAGTGCTTTTCACTTTTTTCAAAATGAATGCAAAGAAAATTTTTCAGGGCATAATTAAGATAGAATTCTTCTTGTTGTGAAATATATTCTGATGAAATATACAAGAACAACATTGATCATTGTCGTTGTAAGAATCTACATTAGCCCATACAAAGATAACAAGCTGAATGCTTTTCTTTTTTTTTACTGATGTTTTTTTGTTTTTGTTTTGCTGTTTCACCAACATGGTACTGAATAATGATAATAATAATAATGATGTAGGAAATAACGATGATGTTGAGAAATGTTTCCCGAAAAAATGAATAAACATTTCCATAAAGATTTCCTCAAAAAAATTTGTACAAATCAAATTATAACTCCTTTGCTTTTTGATTCTCACAGAATCTTTTCAGTTTAATTTTCATTGATTGATTGAAGCATGAATGATGATGATGTCCGAGGATTAAAAAAAAAGTTTTCTTTTTTTTTGGTTTAATTTTTTTTGAATCATTAAAAGTCTTGTCAGACAAATTGATGCTTAAACATATTTGCCTCTCTCACTTATGAAAGTTATCCAAGGGCATATTCCAAATATGAATGATGCTTGTTAAATCAATTCTATTCAGGATTCTTTATTCTTTTACTGTTGTTGTTGTTGTGGTTCTCAACACCACAATAACAACAACAAGAAGGAGAAAAAGAGAATTCTTTTCTTTAAATTCTTCATTCATTCTTTCATTTGTTGTTGGCCGTATGGTTCAGATATAAAATAATAATAAGAAAAAAAGAGAAAGTGTTCGGTTAGTTTCTTACGAAATTCTTTTCATTTTTTTCTCTCTCTCTCTCTCTCTCTCTCTTCTCTCTATCTCATCACTCTCTTCATTGGTAAAATCTGTCCAATTCACAATTCATTCTTATAAAAAATTTCTTTCCATTCATTTCATTCAATTTCTAATGAATGAATAGCAAAGAATCGGGCAATAATAATAATAATAATGATGATAATAATAATAAGCATCATTCCAATTTTTTTCTCCGTTTCTTTCAATGTTGTTGCCCAATGATGATACAATATTTTTTTCTCTGTTCTCTCTCTCTCTCTCTCTCTCTCTCTCTTGCTTATTTAATAACAGAAAAAAATAGTCATCATCAATGAGTTATTGTCATTGTATAAACGATGATAATGATGATGATGATGGTGGTAAGAAGAAGAATAAGAAATCTCAATCTCTCCAATACATACAAAGAAACATTCTTTCAGAATTTTTGAAATAAAATTGTCAATGAAAATAATAACTGAGAAATATTTGCCGAAAACAAAAAATATGATTAAGACAAGAAACAAGTTGAATGTGTAAAGTTTATCATATTTTAGTTTTTATTACATCGGATTGTTTTTTAGCTTTTTCCTTGATGGTATCCTCGGTTCAGATATCCAGCTATTCAATGAACATCATATAATGCTCAAAACACAAATGTCGAATTATTCCAAGTTTTTTTTGCAAAGTTTTGAAAAAAAGATTCTAATTCTGATCCTGAATATTCTGGTAGTGTTTGTTTCCTGTGAGCATAGTTAGTAGTAGTTATCATCATCGACGTCACTTTGGTAAATTTTTTTTTCTCTCTCTCTTTTCTTTTCTTTTCGATCAAATTGATCATAATTAAATTAGATTCTACTGACTGAGCATTCACATTCCCACACACACACACAGCACAGCACACATTGAAAGACAAACGATCAAAAAAAGAAAGAAAGAAAAAATACACAAGGGATATCTATATGAATAGTACAAACAAACATTTTGATAAAGAAAAATTCAATGATCCAAGAATCGATGATGATGATGATGATGATGATGAAGCAATGCAGAAAAACTAAACTAAAGTAAAATACAAATTTTTCTTTTTTGGCTGCTAAAATTTAAATGGACAATTAATCAAACATTTCTTATGAATAATTGTCCAAATAAATGTTTCCTTGTTTTGTATATCTTTCGTTTGTTTGTTTGTTTTCTAAACAAGCGAAAATCACTGGACTTCAAATTTACGAATGACCTCTGTTCAGTGATTTCAGTAACAAAAAAAAAACATTTTAAGGAATCAATAATTGGCCAGCAGCAGTATTCTTTTTGCTCTCTTTTTTCCGATCATGTCATATATTTGAGAATGGTGATCAAACTTCAAAGTTTTTTTTTCAAAAAGTTTGATCACGAATATAGAGGGGAAAAAAGTTTCAATCATATCGATCATTTTTTACATAAAGACAAGATTCATTATCAAAAAGAAAATGAAAAAGTTTATTGTTTATACAGATAAATGGTATCAAAGAATACGAAGAAATTGAATAAACATCGAACAAAAACTTACCTTACAATCAATACAACAAGCACCATTTGAACATTCAGCTTCAACACGTAATTTACATGTAATTGGATCACAGCATGGATCTTTTTGGCTACATTCTTGAAATGATCCACAATCACATTCTTCTTCATCTTCAATAATACCATTACCACATGAACGAAAATCTTCCAATTGATTTGGTTTATTAAACAAACAAATACCATGACCAATTTGTAAGGCATTATTATAATCATCCAATGAACATTTACTAAAATGATATGGTTGCATACGATCATCATTTAAAATATTTTTAGCCATTATACATCCCCACCAATCATTACATTTACATGTTCCTCCTTTTGATTTTTTTCCGTATTGTAAACGAAAAATCAAATAAAGTTTATAATTGCCAAAAAAAAACTTACCCATGCTTACGGATGATGTTGATCCAGTAAGTCCAAGTGAATGTTCCAAATTTACCATATTACTACCACTGCCAACAGAAGCAGCAGCACCACCAGAAACGATTAATGAATCTTTTGTTTCTTCATCATGTCCCATACCGATATTATGACCAAGCATATGTGTTACTGTTGATGCTGTTAAATGTGGTTCATAAATATTTGCATCTTGGCTAACACCGACTGCTTTTGCTGTACAAATACTATCCGGTACGGCCATACCAACTTCACCCGAACGAAATGGACGGCCTCTATGGTGGATTTGCAAAAAAAAAAAAAAAAAAATGAAAAGAAAAGAAAAAATCAATCAAGTCAATCAATTCGCTAAAACACTGAATCAGAATCTAAAAACAACAACGGAAACAGAAAAGTTCCAAACCAAAGTATACAATTTCTTTTACTATTATTATGTTTACATACACACACACTATCAATACGTTTATTTTTAGGTTTTTGTTTTACGCAAAGTTGAATTCAAACAAAAACATCCACCCACACACACATACATACTGATTCAAGCTGGCGAATGGCAGAATAAAAAATCAAAATAAAATTGAATGTACCGAATGTGGAATATAAGTATGAAGGGGAAAAGGAAAGCAGCAGCAACGAATGAACCAAAAGAAAAAACTTAATGAGAAAATCTATTGAACTGTTAACAAACGATTAGATGATGATGATGTAATATCATGATGATGATGATGATGATAAAGTTGGAAAAGAAAGCTAAAAAATAAATAAATAAAATATAGCAAAAGGAATTTTCGATTCTTGGAAGTTTTTTTCTTTTCTTTTCTTCATTCGCTTGCTTTATTCTTTTAATCATTTCATATAATAATAATCATCATATAATAGCCATATGGATGATGAATTCATTTAATTCTTTCTTTCTTTCTTTTTTAGAATAGAATTCTTTCATCATCATCATTGTATGTACAGGATAAACAACAATCGAACCGGAATAAATATTAGAAATGAAAATGAACAACGAAAAACAAACAAAACCCGAAATAAATGGAAAATTCTGCAATATTTTTTTGTTTGTTTGTTTGTTTGATATCGAAATGGGCAAAGAAAGAGAAAAGAAAAAATCCACATGACAGCAGATTTTTAAGATTTTTCCATTTCAAATTCTACTTTAAAAAATACTGATAATAATCATTACCTATTTTCTTGGAAAAAAAATTTCCGAAAAAGTTTTCATTTCCCGGTAAAAAAAACAAACAAACAAAAAAAGGAAAAGTTCCCTGAAAACACGCCCACATACTTTTGGGTAAAATTGAATGTCAATCATAGTAATTTTTCTAATGAAAACTTACGAAAAACGAAAAGTTTTCCCGAAAATATTTCCCGATGATGATGATGATGACAGTATTTCAAAAGTTAATCACATCATCATCATAGATTTTATCAGATCAATTATGTTCTGTACAACAAAAATAAAAAATAAAGGAAAAAGTTTGTTGTTTTTCTTTAAAAAAACAGAAAATTCATTCATTTTTTCAAGATGAATTTAATTAAATAAACGAAGAAAAAAAAACGAAGTGAAATTGAAATTCTTCATCAATTCTTTGTTGTTGCTGTTTCCGGCTATGTCACATTTCATTTCATTTCAAGAATGAATCGAGAAGAAGAACGAAAAAAACTTTATAATTAAATCTTATCATCAATCTTATGATGATGGTGATGGTTTTTCTGCCTGGAATTTTCTGAAACACTGGTTGTGGTTTTTTCATTCGAAATTAAAAAAAAAATTCTGAAATGATCAAGTGATTTTTGATCTGGTTTTTGTTCAGGAAAACAAAAAAAAAATGAAAATTGATCAAGTATTTTTGGATCACTTGAAATAAATTGTTTGAATTTTAATAAGTGTGTGTGGTCATTGAAAATTGTCATTTGATTTGTGGTAAATGATTTGTCATTCACACATTCACACATATTACAAATCAATTCTTCAATAACAATTTTATTATTGGATTTTTTTTTCGTTATCATCTTTGATTCTTTTGCTTTTGGTATTCAGTTTTTTTTCTCTCTCGTATCGTTTCAACAAAAAAAAAATCCGAAAGACAAAGAATGAATGAATGTTGTGTGAATGTGATGGATCGTTGCCTATTATCATCATCATCATCATCATCATCAATTGAATTGATTCGGATGTTAAAAATCCATCTTTATTCTTTGTTTTTCTTTCTTTCTTTTCGTTATTCGTTATTTTTGGTTGAATGAATGGCAATGTTTGGATTACGTGCTTGGATTTTCATTTATTTTCAAATGTGTATATGCGAAAAGGGATGCTATTCTATAGTTTTAAACACGCATTTTTATTCAATGTTTTTGCTTTCTTCAATGCATCGATCTTCTTTCTCTCGATCTATATGTCTGTGTGTGTGACAAAAAATATATAAAGCATTTTCATTTTGCAAAAATATCAAGAAGATGAATTTTTTGCCCTTTGATTCATTTATTCATTCATTCATATGGATAAATGATGATAATGCATCGAGCGCACATCTTTTATCATCATCATTCGGGTTTATGGATAAAAAGAGAATTTTGAATGACAAAAAAAAATAATAAAAAAAACCTCCCTCCCCCGCAAAAAAAAAATTTATGGTCGATATCATTAACGTAAATATTTATAGAAAAGCAAAAACCACGAATTCGCAAAGAAGAAAAAGAAAGAATTCAAGCAAGCAACCGAATGCAAAAAAAAATTCCCTAATCGGTCATGAACGATTTTTTTTCGTGAATATCATCCATATAGAATATAAATGATGATGATCAATATCATCATCGGTAATAATGGTTGGTTAGTGGGTTTTTAAAGTTCTAGTTGAATGAATCGAATATTTCAGTGGGAAAAAACAACAACAACAAAATAATCGAAATGAAAATGATCGATACAATTTTTTTTGTGTCGAAAATTATTTTAACAAAAATCAAAATCAGAAAATCAGAAATTCTGTCTGTGTGACTGAATGGTAGATAACTGATAATCATTGTAGCAGATGTTAATGTTTCATTCATTCAATGATTCTGGAATCAAAAAGAATCCAATGTGTGAAGAAAAGAAGAAAAAAAACAATAGAATTTTGTATGAAAAAAAGTAAATTTTTCATCATCAACAACCAGAAAATGATGATTCTTTTCTCTCATAATCAATTGGAAAAAATCGATTACAACTAAAATATTTTGTTGATTTTGCATCACATTTGAATTTTTTTTGTCAATATTCTGTGTGAAAATATCATCACAATGTTGTCAAACAGAAAGTGTAAACATTAAATATTTTCTTTCCATTTTTTTTTTCTAAATGATGATTATCATTTGATCTGATGATTATTATGGAAATCAAAAACGATGATGTTGATCATCATCATCATCATCATCAAAATTGATGGGTGATTCAATCATGTAACCGGGGAATAAATTTTATGGATTTTATTCGGTAAACAACAACAACAAAATACAAAACATCGGGCCCAAATACTGCAACTACTCCTCCTTTTTACAATCACACTATGAATCCTGAAAAAGAAATCGGGAAAAATGTTCCAACAACAACAATTTTGTCGTGTAAACAAACATTTGTATTCAAATGAACCACACAGAATCACATAACATAGAGACAGATACACAGAGAGAGAGAGTGAGAGAATGTAAAACGATTTTAAAATTATTGTTCACACAGAGACAAACATTATGTAATATCGTGGTCCGGATGATGATGATGTTTTTTTTTCGTCTATTTGTCGTTTATATACAGAAAATTTTTGTTTGTTGCCTTTTAAAAATGGATGATGACAGGCAACGAAAAAAAAATGTTTTTGATTTTGGTTGTTTTGCTGATGGTAAACACACAACTAGCAAATCATCATTTATGATGATTGTTGTTTCAATGGGGCCCAAAAATAGAATATTTAGGTATCTAACGGATTCTGACATATGTTTTCAAACCAAACCAAAAAACAAATGTAATGTTTTTTTTTCTTCTAAACTTACATTAAAAGATGTGCTGCATCCATTGTAATTTTATATAATTTTCTTGATGCATATTCCATAAAATTGAGCAATGTTTGTCGTACATCATCACGAACATCAATTTGATTACCATGTGCCCATGTTTCAACATAAACAACTGATACACGTGTATTAATTAAACGAAAATAAACATCAACACAGTTGATTATTTGTAATGCATCATTGATTACATCCATACGGCTATTATTACGTGATATAAACTTTTTTTTCGTTGTTGTAGTTGTTTAAACAGCAAAAAAAATTTTGAAAAAAAAACTTAATTTAAATTTTTAATTAATATATAGTGATATATGAACATACCATTCCTTGATCTAAAACGATGGCTAATTCAATAAATTTATCCACAGCACGTACATCACGTTTTCTATTTCCTTTATTATTGTTGTTGACATGTGATCTTTGAAACTTTTTACCATCATCATCATTATCATCATTATTTTGATCATTTGTTGATGATGGTGTTGAAACAATGTTTGTTATCATTGTTGTTGATTTTAATTCATGAAATAATTTCGTTGCCATATGATTTATATCATCAACATTATTATGTTGTTGTTGTAGTTGTCGTTGTGCAGCAGCCGCTGCAACCGAATGTATTGGACGTTTACGATATTGTTTGAAACCCCATTCATGCATACGTGTATTACCACATGTATGTTTTGTTGAACGTAATGAATCTGGACTAAAATAACGATATATTACATGTGGATGACGATGCTATACAGAATCAAAAAACAAAACAAAAAAAAAGAACAAAACAAAACGAAATATAATCAATCGATCGATTGATTGATTAATGATTGATAAACAGAAATATATTAATTAATTACCGATAGATCACCACCAAAGAATGGATGTATAACAAATGTTTCATTTTGTAAATGTATCACGCCGCTTAAAAAAAAGAAAGAATATCAAGTATATAATTGATTATTATTATTATTATTCATTGATCAATTATGTATCAACAACAACAACAACAACAACAACAATGTTATAACAATGTTCATTCATTAATAAAACATACCTAATCCCATGGCAAGTACTGAATGCTGCCAATGCACCAGGATAATCCCTGATTGTTCCATGATAATAACAGTTTTCATATTCCTATTTTGTTGATGGGCACAACAAAACAAACGAAAAAATTACAGAAAAACAAAAGAAAAAAAAACATCATACAAATTGATTAATAAAGAATATTCAATACGAAACAAAAAGATATCGATAATATTACAATCAACATTTTTTGTTTTCTCAACAAAGAATGAATGAATGAACAATTTTCATCCTGAAAATAACCCTGTTTTGTTTTTTCTTTTCTTAGTTAAATCCAGAATATTGTTTTTCCCAGGGGAAAGAATTCAAGCTGGATAAACTTTCCAGGAAGAATTTTTTTTTCTCTCTCTCTTATTATCAAGAGAAAAGAAAACAGGAAAGTTTTCACGAAATGATCTATCTAAAATAATTTTTGATTATCAAGTTAATCCTATATAAATAATTGTTCAAAAAAAACATTTTTTTTTAAATTGCTGCGGTTGTTGTATTTTCTTTATTGTTATATAATCCAATAATGAATCAAGTTTCAAAAAAAAACCTAAAGATTATTCTACACATGTCAGATGCAGAGCCATTCTAATATGGAATTTATAAAAAACGGGAAATTCTTTTTAAAAAAAATTTCAAGGAAAAAGAAAAATAGAGAGGAAAACATCTATATGGAATGAGTCAATTCTTACACACACAAATACATTGAAACACTGGACAAGAATTGAAAGAATTGCTTTGAAAAAAAACTGAATTCTGTGATGATGATGATGATGAAAATCAATAAATCTTTTTTCTCCTATCGATAAATATCGTTTTCAATTCAGCTATAGCTAGGTTTTAATTATATATGGAGAAAATAGAATCATTCATTCATTCATTAATTCATCATTCTCCTCAATAATGATATCTCAATAAACTTTTTTCCAAGTGTTTGGCAAAAGAAAAAGAAGAAAAAATCTATTGGTTATATTGATCAAATTGATTCGGGTAGAAAATCATTGAATGAGAAAATGTAAATAAAATTTCCCATTTCAAACTGAAACTGTGATGAATTGAATTTTTTTCCTATTCCAATTCCAGTGTTCAATGATTCAATGGTGGAATTGAGAATATCATAACAAAAAAGAAATGGAAATAGAAAAAATGTTGTTACCTGTGTGGAGATATGTTGTGCACCTTCAGGTAGTAAATGTTTTTGTACTAAATTTGGTGCTAATAAAAATCTGAAAAATAATGGATGAAAAAAAATGAGAAATTCAATTTTTGATTGATTGATTGATTCATTTATACATACAAATTGAGCTCCAGATCAAGGCGAAACTTGTAATTAAAGGCTTTGATTGTAAATGATGTATGTTGATAATGGCGATCAACTTGACCAGTCTAAAATAAAAATCAATTAATCAAACTTATGAACAAATGAATAATAATTATCATTACAATTACCTTATTTGCTAATAAATCTCTTGTTGAAATGCCCATTTTTTCATGTTTTCGTATCTGTACTGGAAATGTAACTTCATAAAATCTACTTGGTATACTTGATATTAATCTTTCATTTTCCGGATATTGACGAGTTAATCGTTCAACTTCAGCTAATGTTGTTGATACAAAAAAAATTTGAAATAAAAAGAAAATTAATTAATTATTTATAATCAACAAATGACTATTGAAAAAATTTTACATACCAACTTGTCTATGGTCTAAATCGCCTCGATATTGATCAAATTCTGTTCAAATTTTCGCAATGATAAAAAACAAAAACAAAAAAATGAATTAATAATTTAAAACAATAAAAAAAGGAAAAAAATCAGTCAAAAAACATCATTCTCCGTATAATTAGGCTTGAATGTGTATTTGAACGAGAGAAAAAAAAACTCTATTTTCAACCAAAAAACAGAAAAAATCCGATCGAAATAGAATCAAACACTGATCCAGATCTTAGTTCGTCGAACTATCACTATAATCACATACAACCACCAACACAAACACGATGATAATGACACGCAAACATGCATGACAAACATCAATTTTATTTTCGGCAAAAAATCTTCCAATATTTCTTTTCTTTTGTAATTTAGTTTGGTTTGTGGTAACAACAATAACAACGACAAAACACCAACAACACTAGGTTCAACCAAATAAGAAAGACATATCTACCCTCGATGTTATCAACATTTTTTTTCTATTTCCTAAAAAATGTTTGAAATGAGAATATGAGAAAAAAGACATTTCAAAATGACAAATACATACACCTTGAATCGATTGTGAAATTATATTTAGTAAATATTATTATCATATCTTTGCGAATGAATTTGTCAAAATCAACAACAACAACAATTGGATTTCAATAGTAAAAGTGATTGCAAAAACATATTACCCCGTAAAAAATGATTCCCTTTCATTAACCTGAATTTCAATCGGTTTTTTTTATTATTATTTTGGATGATAATAATGATGACATTCAAGGTGTGTATAATGTTGAAAATTTGAATTTGAATCGAAATAGGAAGAAATGAGAGAAAAAGAATTTGAAAAATCATCATCATCATATTTATTTCCATTTCAACAACAACAGAGAAAAAAACCTATTTATCATATCAATTCTTTCGTTTACAAATACAAAATATATTTGCCTGATTTTTTTCAGGTTTTTCTTCTTCTCGATCCTGGTCTTATCACCTGAAAAAAAATTCTTTTCACACATTTTTATATACACATTTCCATATTGATAATTCTGTTGTTCTGTAAGTAAAGAATAAAACAGAATTTATAATAATAATAATCCTGATAATAATAATAATAATAATTCAACATTATCGATAAATAGACGGACATCATATATATGTGTGTGTGTGAATGGCTGAACATTCAAAGAGAATATAGAGAAAATCAAACTGTTTAACATTGTGCCCCAACCATAATACAATCAATAATTTAAATAATTCTGTCGTTTTTTTTCTGTGTATTATCATTCAATTTATGTCTTTTTTCTAGCACAATCTTTCTCTCTCTCTCTCTCTCTAGCTATTTTAAAACAACGAAAACAAAAAATGAATTAATGAATCACCATATTCCAGGCCCAATTGAAACACAGTAAAGCAGAAATGCAGAAAAAATAAAATAGCATCGTTGAAAACAATGGACATAAATTATAATGATGATGATGAAGAAGCCAAACAAAAAAAAAACTGGGCTTCCTCCTGATGATTCAATGAAACAAGAATGGATGAATGAATGAAAAAAAACCTAGTCAAGGAATAAGAATAGAAACAAATTTCCGGTTGATTTCAAGTGTGATTCATTTGAAAATTGAATTTATTATCACTATGTGTATGTGTAGGGAAATAGAGAATTGAAAGAATGAAATTGTCGTCACCGTTTTATTCATTTTTTCCATTCTTTCACTCTGCAAAAATTGAATGTGACAATGACGATGTTAATGGCAGTCGACAAAATAGAAAAAAACCCTTTTTTTCAATTCTCGAAACCAATATGGCCTCCATGTTAGAGGTGAAAATAGCAAGATGCTATACACACACACAGCATTTACAAATTGAAAACAAAATCCAAAATCCGAAAAACAAAAAAAAATGATGTTAAAAAAACCAATTTTTTATCATTGAACAACATAGATTCAATGAATTTTTTTTTTCTGGGGTTTCCCATATGGTTGCCGAACAAAAAAATCTTTTCTCTGTGATCAGAAAACAATATCAAAACATAGCATTCACACAAACCGATTTCAAGTCCAGCATCCATTTTTCATCCAAACAACAACAGCAACAACAACAACAGAAGAGAAAGAAATTCTGGAACAAATGGTTTCAAACAATGAAGAAAAAAATAGATAAAGGATAATATTGGAATAGCAACCACTAGAATCTACAACCAACAACAACCACCACCAACACCAAAACATAGATTTAAATTTTATTATTTTCATTTTTGCTGTAGCAAATGTAGATACACATCCATCCATAACAACAACAACAACAAAATGGATTGGTTATGATGTGCTATGATGATGACTATATATTATATAATAAAAATCTAAATCTAAACACACAACGACAATCATGATGATGATGATGATGATGATGATGTAAATTTGATGATTGATGTTAAATTAGCCATCACTATTTGGTGTTACTACTGTTGTTGTTGTTGTTGTTGTTAGGGGAGAAAAAAAAGCATTATCATCAATGTATACAAAAAAAAGAAAGAATCATCTCTGATAGATTTTCTGGAATAACCAAAAGAAAAAATTTGTTTTTTTATTTGAAATTCAAAATTGAAAAAAAACAGCAACTTTTACGATCATCGTGATGATGATGAGATATAAAAGCTTTTTCTTTTTGCTAGCATATCATCATCATCATTAGGATGTTATGTAAGAAAAAAAGAAAAAAACTTTGATCGTTTCGTTTCGTTACGTTATTGTTGTTGTTGGTTATTGACAGTCGAAAAAATATTCTTTCATTTTTTACTGTTAAATTATTACATACTTTTTACATGTTTTTCTGCCTGTCTGTAATAAAAGTTTACCGAAAGTTTGATTCGATTGAAATCACGAAGAAAACCACAGAATCTTGGTTCTATTCGTTTGTTGAACATGGGAAACTTTTATTTTTCAGAAAAAATTAAGGGAAAAACAACAACAACAACATTCCCATTTACAAAATTGATTGATTACTGATCAAATTATGAAAATATTGAAAATTTGAAAGAAAAACAACAGTCAAATGAAATAGAAAAAAAAATCAATTTCCGATTCACAGGAACATTCACATCAAATTCATTCATTCATTCATTTGACTTACCGGAATAATGTGATGATGATGACATTAATGCTGATGCTGATGATGATGATAATAATGTTGATGATGAATTCGACATGATAATATTATTATTGTTGTTGTTGTTGTTATTGGAAGCATTGGCAGTTGATAATAATAAGAATAAATAGATAAAAATTGTGATGAAAATAATATTGATTGAATGTAAATTTAATTTCATAATTTGTTGTTGTTGTTGTTGACCATTCAAATCTGTTCGTCGACGTTTTTTTCTTCGTGTTCTTTTCATCATCATTGATGTTTGCTTTTTATCATCATCATCACCATTATCAACAAAATTTTCATTAATTTTCAATTTATATCTGGATTTTAGCCATATTTTCCATTTGATTAAAATTGATGAATTGAAATATTCAGGATTTTTGCTTAAACGTGATTGATGTTCGGTCATCATCATCATCATCATCATCATCATCGACAAAACACTTATTGATTGGATGATTTTCTTTTACACCCTCCTTTTTCTTTTCTTTATTATAGATTCAAAGATGATGATGATTTCTTCTTTTTTGGGATTCTGCAAATCAATGATGATGTTAATAATGAGGTAGATAATGATGAATTCTGTATATATAAACAACAACAACAACAACAATAAAGATCTATTATAAGAAAGATGTTGAATAACAGTTCATAGTTAATGATTATGATGATGATGATAAAAATTGATTACTTAATTAATGAATGAATGAATGATGCGTATTCAAATTAGATATTCTTAAAAAGATTATATTTGACAAAACAAGGAGGAGCAATTCAGTTGTGGGCGTTGTTATTGGATTTCAAATTTTTTTTTCTGATTGCAAGATGAGCAAATTTCTAGCATCTTTTTTTTATTATTTAACTATTTTGACACACATCAAAGATCAAAACATTCAAAAGATGAATTATAAATAAATAAATAAAGGAAAAGAGAAGAAGAAAGAAAAAAACTTTATTGAATGACAGTTTTGTTTCGATAATGTTTGAATGACATTTGATAATTTTGGATCGAGTTGGTTCAAATATGCAAATAGTGCAAATATTCAAAATGCAAACATACGCACACACACATGGCCCGGGAAAAAATCGGGTTCCGTATACAAACTCAAACTCAAACACAAACACAAAGGCCACAAAGAAACACTTTAAAAAAATTACAATCAATTCCAGCTGTGATTCGGTTGATTCAAGTTAATTAATTAATTAATTGAATATAATTAATTAATTATGATGATGCAGTCGTTGATGATGATGATAGCTTGATGATTTTCAATTTAAAAGTTGATTCGATTGAAAGAATTTCAAAAATAAAAAAAATTAAAATTAAACAACAGAATTTCCACAAAAGATTTCTTCTTTCTGCTGTAAGCGGCACTGGTAAGAAAAACAAAAAAAAAGAGAGGAAAAAATTAGTGTTTTTGGATAAGAAAAGGTTTCTTCCAGAATTTTTTCTGTTGAAAATTTTGCCAAACATGCCGAATTGTTGACAATAATTAACCAGGGGTAATCGAAGAAAACAAAAACCCGGATAACAAAATTGTCCAATTAACAAATTCTGTGTGCGTTTATGAAAAAATTTTTTATCGAGAATTAATTAATGATACGAAAATCATCATGTCCAAATTAAATTAGAAAGAAACGGGTCATTTAAACAACAGATTCGAATCTTTTTTTTCAATCAACAACAACAACAACAATTCAATCATCAATATTTTGTTTTACTTATTTTGTTTAAAATGAAAATTTAATTATTATTATTGAAATTTTCTTTAACCCGTTTTATATAATACAGGGTTCAAATATCAACAACAACAAAAAAAAAAGAAATGAAATGAAAAGAATCTTGTATTGATTGAATATAAATAAGATTTTTTTTCAAGTTAAAATTGAATTGAAAGCATTGAACGAATTTTCGCATTCTTTTTTTTCGGTTCATCCACTGTTTTCATTCATTCACACAATAGTGATGATGGTGTGTATTAAAAAGTAGCAAGTATGGTGTTGCATTAATAATGAACATCATCATCATTGAATCATTGAATCAATGATACAAGACTAAATAAAGAAGCAGTGAAGAAGAAGCTAAAATCAACTTAAACTTTGAACAAAGAAAAAATTTGTTTTTTTTCCTTCTAATATTATTAATTTTCAATTCAGTTCCAAATTCAAATGGCTAATATTAGCTATTTGAAAACTGAGAGGGGGGAGGATAAAAAAGATGTATTTTGATTGTTCCAAATGAAAGGTTAAGAATCGGTTTTCTTCTTTGCAAAACGTGTTTCCCCCAAACACACACACACACACACACACTCTCCAAATTTTCTCCAGTTTTGAGAGATTAAAATTTGTAATCATTTTTTTTTTTTGGTGGATGAAAATGTTCGTCATGGAATTTCTTACACTTAACACACAAATGTTATATGGAATATTCTTTTTCTTTTCTTTCAAACATAACTATTTCAACATCAGCAGCAGCAGCAGCAGCTGTTTTCGATTCTATTATTTTCCCTTTATCATATTCGATAGTTTTTTTTTCGTATTTTATCATTTTTTTTATAGAGAAAAAAATATATAATTCGAACAGCAACAACAAATGCCTAACGGATTTGTATGTGTTATTTCGTTGGAAAAAAGAAAGAAAGAAAGAATTTTTCTTTTTCTTTTCATATCTGCAGCGAAAAAATATAGACTCTTTAAGTAGCTTGAATATTATAGGATTCTGTGTGTGTGTGTGAGAATTGAATGATAATGATGTGTTTGTGTGTTGAGAAACAGCTTTTTTTTCTTTCGAAAAAAGAATTCAAAACTTTATGACGTAGTACACAGTTTCAGTTTTTTCATCACAAGAATTTTTATATCAATAGAATAGAAAGTGTTTAGTATCTGAATGTATGGATTTATTGCTATGGCTATAACACAAAACGATAATAAAATTCCATGTCTGTATTTCTTATCGGCAACGAATAAATTAAAAAAAAAAAAAATTTCGATTGTGAAAATTCTGAAAAATGGTGGCATAAAATCTCTTTTTTTTTCTCTCTCTCTCTCCATAAATATCCTGATCCGATTGGATTGATGATTTTAAAAATTTGGCCGGAAAAAAAATTGGATGAAAATCATCATCATCATAAATCGAAAGATCAAAATATGATGGCCGAAACTATCGATACCCAAAAAAAGAATCGATTTCAAGATTTTGAAAGAAGAAAAAATTTTGAAAAGCAAAACAAAAAACGACGGAAAATAGCCAGAAGCTTGACTGTTCAACCAGTTTTTCCGTTTCACATCCGATCTAATTAGTGTCCAAAGTTTTTTGTTTTGTTTTGTTTGTTTGGTTGTTTTTAAAAAACAGAAAACAAAATTAAAATTCTAATCATCAATTTCAAGTATGGTGTGTCAGCATTTTGAATGACAATAAAAAAACAAAGCAAAAAAAACGAAATTCTACATCCCGTTCACTAGGCGCATTCTTTTTCGTGAAATTCTTCACAACCTTCATGGTTCTATCATAGCCGCTACCATTGTTGTTCATAGGTAAATAAAAGAATCCGGTGAAAACAAAGGATTTAATTAATTAATCAATTAAAAGATACAAGTCTACAAGTTCATTATCACTGTTAGTAACAACCATTCTGTGTTGTTTGTTTATTTTGCATTTGTGGATGTTTCATTGAATATTTGGTTCGTTTGCACTTGAAAAATGAATAAAATAAATTCTCTTTCGATTGACGAACAATTTATTCATCGAAGATTATATGTATGGGCACGAAGAAAAAAAAAATTTGGCAATCGATGCAGAAACAAAAAAAAAATATATATTTTCAAAGAAAGTTTTCCGGATTTTTCACATCATCTTTTCATCTTGTTTGTTTCAAGATTATATATTTTTTTTTTGGAAAATTCTGAATTTCTTTCTTTTTCCTCCACTCTTACCAATCAAAAGAATTTCAGTTTTTTTTGCTTATTCTGCTAAAAAAAAGAGATTCTCTCTCTCTCTCTCTCTCTCGTTTTTTTCCTTTTGAATATGAATTTAAATTTCTCTAACTGAAATGGAAAAATGATTGAGGAAAGTATTGTTTCACTCAGTTCCGAACGAAAAGAAAAACATCATTTATGTCGAGTGGTTGTTTGGGATAGAAAAAAAACTTGAAAAAATTTTCAAAATTATTGAAATTCATTTTGGTGAATTTTTTTTCTTTCCATTATCATCATTTTTTTTTAATGATCAACTTTTTGGTTGTTTGGCACGTGCGTATAATGATTTGGTTTGATGTTTTTTTTTTTGATTTTTGGTAAACAAAAACTTACAGGATATTCTTTTTTTAATAATCAAAATAAGATGTTTGAAAATGAGCAACAAAAAAAAATGATGAATGTTTTGAAAAATTCTGTTGTCCACCAAGGAATAACCATGAAAAAACACGCAATTTATCGATTTATTCAATCAAAAATAAAAAAAATGTACCAGAATTTCATGAATATTATCAGGTTCGAATCACCATAATATGCATCATCAGTTTATCGTGTCACAAGATATTGTTTTGTCATCAAATGTTTATTATTATAAAATTCTGTTGATTTTGTTTTTTTTATTCTGTATGAAACACAAATTTCTTTGTCGTAAGAATGATTGAATGAATAACCTGATGTTCAATAAATAATAATCAATAAAGGATAAATATTTAAATATTTTTGACGAAGAAGAAGAGAAAGTTGAACCAAAAATTAAATTCTAATGATGACATCATTACCCTTTGTTTCAAACATTCAACCACACTAACAAACAAACACCAACGCACAATGTAAGAAAGAATTTCTGGTTTTCACTTTTTTCTTTCTCAGTTCCTAGTTGATCACCACTTTTTTTTTGTTTTTTGGTTCCGCAAGTTTAACAACAACAACAACAAAAAGATTTTCAAATGAAAAAACGAACCGGATCGTATGAATTCAAACGATCAACTGAAAGACAAGAATTTCCAAAATTCTTGAAAAGCGAACCAAAAATAAAAAAATCGATGTACAGCATCAGAGAA